CACATATTTCACGAAATAAGACTATTTACCTTAATTACTTTCTCCAACAACTAAAGTAAACTGGAATCATGAATGTTTAATGGAATACTTAACGTTAAATGTGTCCTTGTGCTGTGTTGCAAAATAGATTAGTTCACAGTGTCTGTGGGATAACAAACAAAGCTCAAGAGCTAATAATGGGCCTTTATCATGGTGGATATTGGAAGGACTCAATTATCAACAAAGCAATAACTTACTTTGGTGACCGGTCATATAATGTTTCGTTTAAATTTGATGTTGTTGTCACATGTTGCAAAACTTCGGTCATTTCTGTCTCAGAGGACTTTACGGATGCAGAAAAAAGCCCTTTTTGCTAAATGTATCATTATGTACAAAGGAAAACCTTGACCATTGAATGGATAAAGGTAGCAACATATGTGGAGGAGAAGAGGCTGGAGTAAAAGGTTTATGGTTTTTTTCTTCTCTTTTGTCTCCTTCACTTGCGCATCCAACAATGGCTGTATAATCAGAGAACTTTTGGAGAGTATCGTTGCTGCTTCACGTGTCCGATGTGTATATTGGATGGTAAATAGAAAAGAAAAGAGCACTGTGCTCCAAACCATACAAAGACAAAAATATCACTCCCTCAATTTTCCTCCAAATATTAACATGGAGTCCATAAGGGACTACAGCTAAATGTACTTAATGGTTTTCAAATATTAGAGGAGTGAATAATGCAGTTTAGGAGTCATATCATTGATGTCATACACCGGAACAACATTTCTTCACACCTGCTACTCTCTGGAGGTGTGAGTGGGCTCTGACCTTTGAACTTTGTTGAGGGGACATGCCACATGACATCATAGTTCAGATATGCTCTGATCCAGACCACCTTAATGAGGAAAACAGTCATCACATGTGTCCCTGGAACACCTGCTATCTTTATAAAATGACAGGTATCAGAACTTGAACGTTGGTCCTCTCTTCAAGTGTGTGTCTTTAAGGTGTTGTTTAAAGGCAAGGGGGGGCTTCTCTGTGGCGTTATCACTATTTCACTGCATGTTCTAGATACAAGCAAGGACAGTACTTTGTTGAACACATTATCAAAGTCCCTCGAAGGTGAGTTTTTGATTTTCTTGGGTTTTATAAATGAACTTATTTAGCAGGATAAACTGTGTGTTCATGCTCTTAGTCATGTGTTTACCAGGCGACCTGAGGATGAGCCTTCAAGTGTTGTGTGTGCTGGTCCTGTTTCTCTGTCCGAGCACTGATGAGATGGTTGTCGACAAAAGAAGAATGTCAAGGTGTGTATTCAGTCTCTTTCTGTGTGGCATTTTCAGACTTTTAGCAGCAGTTTGATGAATGTATACATTTTTGTAGTACATTTTACAGAAAAATCTAAAAAAATGTAATTCAATTGTTGTCATTTATAGAGATTGATAAAGAAAACATCAGCAGATTAAATATATATATATATATATATATATATATATATATATATATATAAAATAAAACATAATCGTCAGTTGCAGCACAGTCTAGATACATTGTGTGTCTGTTGTGAAAGCTATACAGTGTATTTGAAAAATGTAACATGATGTTTAGCATTGAAATTGACTGTAAGTAAAAAAACATCCCTTAATCAACACCACTTTTCTTAGATGGCATTCATATCGGATGGAAAAAGGAGAAAATCTCATCATCCGGAACTTCAAAAGGCATTCAGATGGGACATTCGGCAGCGACTTGACCCAATACCTTGATAAAATGAAAGCGAAACATTTCGTAGAATGGCTGCACCAAACAACAACAATGGTGAGCTGAAAGAAACATTTAAACCAAAATATACTGTAAAACTGTTTTAAATCATTGAGATGTGATAAGAGTAAAATAATCCCTCTTTTACCAGTTGTGTGGACTGATTAAAGATATTATTATAATTTTGGATCCAAAAACGGTTTACAGGTTGTGTAATATTTTTTTTGGATGTAACCTCGACTTCAACTCCTTATATTTTACTTACAGCTGCCATAATGAACTGCTCGGCCTTGCAGCAGAAGTCTAATACAGCTCAGATTACATTTGCAGTATGCTTGATCATCCAGCTGCATGAAAGAAGATGAATCCTCTGCACCAACATAGAATATTGTTGTCAGTTTATTTATGCTATATATTTTTTTTTAATTAAAGGTGCATTTCGCACATTGCTGTTTCCAAAAGGTGAAGAAAAAAATGTAATGTGTTTTTTTATATGAATACTTTTTGTTTTGAAATACACATCGACCGACTTAATGTTTTTTCAATTGTAATCATGTTGAAATACTGACCACTGATTCTCTGTTTTTGCCACTTTTGATTTTTGAACTTTTTCCAAACTTTTTTTCTGAATGCATTGTGGCTTTTACCTGTATGCCCTTGTAATAGGCATACAGGTGATGCACACAATGGTAATAAATAAAAGGTTAAATAATGTGTTTTATATCGACATTGAGATTGATTATAAGTACTTATTGACATAATTCATCCACGGAACTATGGGTTGGGGGTATTGTTCCGCACGGACACATATGTTAACTGTACTTACTGTGTGCCCTCCTTTCTTCTCTTCCCGGGCTTCAAGCTGATAACATGTGTGTTTCTGATGCTCAATAAAGCTAACTTATTACCTTCGATACACCGCCTCCGACTCCCGTCTCTCGGCACTACAGTACTGTCTTTTAAATAGCCTATAGTACCGAATAAATGAATAGACAAGGCAGTATTTAGTGATTGGTCAAAAAATATGGCACATTTGATGCATGCACAGGGATGCCCAGACGTGGGTGCTGTTGTTCAGCAAATCAGAATAAAACAAGCAGCCAAACATCTCTCAATGCAGGCTGATTTGGAAAATATTTTTTTAAAGGCAATGTGTGGGTGTGAAGCATAGACTGTGGTGGGAAGGCATCTGCTTTGTTTGCTTTTACAGTGGATGCTGTATATAGCGTGCACTTTGTTCACACACATTTACATTGTTGCACAATGAGGTTATGCAATTAGGCTGTCAGAAAAATAGGTGTATTTTAGATAGGTGGAGAGAAACTGTAGGCTGTAACTGCTTGGGATTTGTTATGTATATGTGTGTGCTGGTAATGGATTGGTGGGAGGTTAGTTATATGTCTGCCTCATTGAGGAATGTAATGTATGGGGGTGAAGCTGTGGTGGAGGTTCTTGGCTTCTGGCCATATAGCCATGATGGAGAGCTCCCTCTTTGGGCTCCATCCTCCCTCCTCAGTCTGACTCTGACTCTGGGGAGAAAGGGAGACCTGGGGAAGAGGGGGAGGGAGGGAGGAAAGGATCGGGAGGGAAGCACAGAACACAACCCTCTGATCAGTCAAGGGTTGAAATGGGATCATATAGTAGGAAAACCCCCTTTTACAGCTGGCTACTTGCACTTACCGCCTGTCTGACATTTACCAGCAAGATTGCTGCAAAAGGTTTCCCAGCATTTGATTGCAAGGGATGGACAGTGTCAATGATGTATCACTATCATTAGTAATACATGATAATATTCAGTGTTTAATATCGCGTATAACAAGCCAAAGGAAATACTGTGACACGTGTAATTGTTATATTTAGTCACGTTCACATCTACCCACAGAGAAACCACCACATGCTATGTGACAACATGCTTCAGAGGAACGGCGGGGGATGAGAGCAAGGCTAGCTGAGGGGGAGTGTAGGTGTGGCTGTCTAAGAATTAGGTCGAGCTGCTCCTCACACTAAAAACACATTTTATGGCTGTGTTTAGCTTCACGACAAACAGCGCTGTCATCTTATCATCCGACCCCAGACGAGGAGCCTCAGAGCCGGGCAGAGGATGTTCGCTGTTCCCGGCTCCAGCACCGAGGCGGACAGCTTCTCTGCAGCTACACCTGCTCCCGTCGGCTCTTTACCTCGTCGTTAACGAGCCTAACTTTGGGATGAAATGCCTTTTTTTGGTGGGATTTTTTGTATGCGCGTAGGAGCAGTCTCCTAGGGAGCCGGGCTAAAAGTGATGGAGGCACTGGTCCAAACTGGGAGGGTGCTGCTGACTCAGCCTCGACTGCTGCATTAATTTATCTGCACTGCAGTGCACCACCACCTCCCTTCGCCTTCTCTTTTCCTTACCTCCCCCCTCCCTTCCCGATTCTCTCTCTCCTCTCATCTCCTCTCCACCTCACTGCACTCTCACATCCTGGAGCATGGCAGTGACACGAGTTGGAGAGGGAGAGGGTCGATTGTCAATAAGGCGCATGTTCCCATTGCCAACATGTGTAGATGATAGATAACAGAGAGGGACATTTGAAAATATCATGCTAAAAATCCAGGGGGACGGAGGAAAGGCGGGGGAGGAGGGGAAGTCGAAAAGACTCCACGTGACTTGAGGGAAGGAAAGGAGCCAGGGAGACAGCATTTTGTAATGGGACCAAAGGGAAAGGGAGGAGAGAAAGGAAGGGTAGTCCATGGAGAATTTGCCATCAATTCAGGGTTTGGTGAAAACTCGATGCATAATTTACATTACAATTCCACCCACTCTCCACAAAGGGTTTCTTACCCTTCTCCCTGAGAAGCAATAACAGATCAATATTCCCCAACATCTCAGCCCTGATCTGGTGAGGTTTTGAGGTTACGAGGGCAATGAATGTAATATCATACCTCTAGGCTATTTACTTTATGGTGGACCACAAACAAGAGCATCACGGTACAGATGGACTGCATACAAATGGGGCTATAGTCCATCTTCTGCCTGTGAGTGGGATGTTAACACAGCGCTCTTAACAAATTCAATAAGTCCATTACACTTAAAAGGCTGCCTTTCACGACCCCGTTACCACAGCACCACTCAGCTCCCTTTCACAGGATGTTTTGTAATCCACTTGGGTCCTCATACATCACCACAAAAGTAAAATAATCTGCACAAAATGGTGACCATTACTTAAAGTGGACACAATGAATCTGAAAAAAGCCTGAAGGAAAATGGAAAACCAACACACGATTCATAACTGGAAGGCTGCTTTATTGGTAATAAAAAGGTTCGTGCTCAAATGAAGACAATCTTTCATATATTCTTACCATGAGTCCAAGTGGTTGTGCAACACACTATCATATAGTACTGTATATCCTCTTTTATCACGGTGTCAAATGATAACAACAGTTTGAAAAGCACTTTTTAATTTTTCAGCAAAAAAAAAAAAAACGCCCATAATAAACCATGCTAAAAAAGAATGAGTCCTATAGTCAAATATTGATACAAAAATAAATTTCAGATGGAAACAGAAACATTGAAGAAATAAAACGGAAATATAGAAGGCAAGCTGCTTTTTCACAAGCCAAGTGGGTGACACACATAGCACTAAGAACAGGACATTTAGCTGTTTTCTGTTAACATGACACACTGTTGAATATTAAGATGAAGTGGGTTGTCTCTGGATGATCCTCCGGCAGTAGTTCTGACTCGACATCCCTGATAAATGTTGTGCTCACCCCCAAACCTCCACCCTCCACAGTTTGGACCGTTTCTTTTTTTTTTCAGTGTGGAATTGACATCCAAATTCGCAGAAAAAGCAGAAAAAGGCACATGCCATTGAGTGGAACATTAGAAACAAACCATTCAACAAAATAAATGTGAGGATGAGAAGCAAGTACATGGTTGTATGCATGTTGACCTGTAATGGCACTGATGTGTGGGTATGGGAAAAGGCCCTGGGCGTAGGTACCGTCTCAGGGAGATCCCTGGTAACATTGGTTGGCAGTGAGGAGTCACCTGTGTGTGTTTTAGTGTCCGTGACTGTGGGTGTGTCCTGTATACTCAGTGAAAGGGAGAGATATGACAGGAAGTGAGAAATGTGCTGGTAACATTATCCTTTCATCATGATCAGGCTACAATCCATGGCAAGCAGCTCCAGTAACATCGCACATGAGCTATCCCCCAACATAGAAGGGTGCTGGAAACAACCAGTTTTTAGACATCCACTGAACGTGTTGCACATAAATCAAATGTGACAAACAGTGTTCTTCTGTTTTATGTATATACATATAGACATATATGTATACATGTATATATCTTTTGTATTATATAATATCTATATTTCATTCAATTTCCGTCAACAAAGTGAAAAGTGTCTCAAAAAATCCAAAAAGGTAACAAATGTGACAAAGGGCATAGCTGGAAGCCATTCTATATTATTGTTATTATTCATTTTTTGATTATTAGTAGTAACATTTTTTTTTATTCCATATTTACAAAAAACACAACAAAGCATGCCGATAAAATAAAAGAATATAATACAATATTTATAGTTTCTCTCAAAAAGTTTGTTCTTTTCAGCGATTGTGCCATTTACATCATAGCCTGCACTGTACATATATAGGTTTTTGTGTTTTATTTGTTGCCTTTTTTTGCTTGTTTTTTTTCTTGTTGTTTTTTTCAAGTGTGAACGTATCATTCTAAAACATTACATCCAAGATGAACGTGGATACATTGGATGACATTACTCACTTCTCGTGTGGTTCTCATTGGGAATGTATTTGGTTTCAGTGTGCAGCAGCCAAACTGATTTGGAGACCTCATATTGTAAACAGACTTCAGTTATTGTTACAGACAGGGGGTTCAGGTACAGGCAGTGTTAAACACACCAAATGGCATTAGTGGTGTGACAAAGGATGCCAGATGTATGTCCAGTCATCCAATTATAAATAGGACCATCACTCCTGTGTAGAAAATAAATGGCAGGAACACCTAAGTAGGCAGTTGTGTCTTGTCTACCACTTGACAAAGCCTCAGGTTTTATTTTTATGAAAAACACCCACAAGCTCATTATACAACATAGCCGCGTTGATGTGAGGCCTGCTGATGTTAAATCTTGGCAAGTGTTCACTTTACTACCTCCATCTCTGGCTAGTTGTTTTTGAAGCGGGTGATAGTACTTTAAAAGCCTGCAGGTATGTGAAAAGATGGTGCGAGCCTGGGTCCAACACCACACAGTGTTTAAGAGGTCCCACAAAAGCACAATGATACACTGACAAACATGGGACTTTCAGCACTCTGACTCAGACCAAACAATATTCACTTCTTCAGCTCTTCCATTTCTCTCTTGTCCTCATGGCAGTCAGTCTAAAACCCTGAAGGGAGGGGCTCTACTTATGTATTGGTCCAAGTTTGTGTTATTTATCACTCATCCACCTCCCTGAAATATCAGACAAATTCCATTTAATTCTACAGTCCAAACCACCTTCCATTCATGCTAGGCACGACAAGGCTTGTCCTTGTGACAATTCTCTGCTCACTCTGCTGTTTCAGATGGTCAGTGTCACTCGCACTGATCAAATCCTTTTTCTGAGAATGATTGCATCACAAGGACATCAGAGAAGGACTTCAAGGCTTTTTTTTTTTTATCTAAAGCTGGCAACTCAAATTGTCCGAAAAGCATTACCTAAAACATCCCTCACTGAAAAATTCTGATGTGGGTCCGACGGAGTACAAAATAGGAACTTGAAATGAAGGAAACAGTAAGATTACTGTCCAATGTATCTATCAAAATGTGTTTTTTAGTTTTCACTAGCCCAAACAAACCAACAAAAACAGTATCAAAAGGGAAAATAAAAAATAAAACCATATGTCTGTCCCTACTTCTGGAACTACAGCAGTAGAGGGAATACCTTTTGACACTTGAGCACCAGACCCTTTCTGGTGCCAGCTATGGATTCCTTGGCGTGACATTCACCTGCTCTCATTGCCGTAACAGGGACCACAGGTAAGTAGGAGAGTGACTGTATGATGGATGTAAGTAAACAAAGAGATGTTAGCCCCAGAGTTGGTTCAGGGAAACTGGCATGGCTCTCCAAATCTGTGCATCCTCATCGGGAGGATTATCTGCTCCCTCATATTCACACTTTCAACATTACTCAAATTCAGAGCAGCAAAAAAAACTATTTTCTAGTTTGTGTTGTTGGCTGATCTCACTGAGACTTTGCCTCTGAGTGCTTACATTCTTCATTCACCTGAACTGTTAATGAAGGGCTGAAGTCAATATCTATCACGTATTAAAGAGCAGGAATGTATGACTATCATTCCCCCAATATTTTATATCCCAAATCATAATTTGTAAGTTATAATCAATTCCCCAGTGGACATCCTTAAACTAAAGTCTAGCCACTGCAGTGGTCTGATCATTTGTGTCTTGTGGACTATGATTGCTCATGCATGATTCCTGATCAAAACATGCCTTTGTGCAAGTCATTTCTATGCATTGAACGAGCACAATAATTATTAATCATCTGGAACTCGGCCTGAGCAAGGCTCCTTCAGCTCAAGTCAAAACAATGACTAATGACCCCCTACCCAGTCAGTGTGAAAGCCCATGTAGAACATTTATTTTTCAATGTCAGTATAACAAACAGGAGATGAAAAGACGAGTGACATGGGGTTAATGTTTTTTTTTTTGCTGCTCAAATAATGTTAAGATGCAAGTTCACTCAGCACAAACAAACAAAAACAAAATCTTTGTCTACGGTTCTGGGTTTCCCCCACTCTCGCTAGTGTTTCCATCCTAATTTTCTAGGATGATTATTGTTTTCTTCTTGGTAAAGATGAGAAACACTGGTTTACAGAGCCTCCTTTAGACTGCTAACAACGTTCTAGTTGGATCTGTATGATCCAGTCCCGCAGCATTGGAGCGTTGCTGCGGGGGTCCACACTCAGGTGGTGGCAGGGAATTTGCAATTCTTCGATAATCTAGCAGAGATATCTGTGCCGTGGCAGTTGGTCCCAAAAGGTGAGTGTGATCGGCCAGCACACTGCGAGTCATTTTGTGTTTGTTGCTCATTTCTATGAACTTGGTCACTATGCAGCAAAGTTTTGTGGTAAACTGATTGTGTTTGGTTCAGCTGTCTATGACGACATAAGAAACCACATTGCCTCGGCAGTATTCAGTCTGTAAACATTTTTTTTATATGTTTTTTTTTCTTACTAGCAAATGATCCCTTTTTCTACATTTGTTGAGTTTGGGCTCAGAATCTCGTCTTGGTGTGTTTAATGGACTTTGAGAGTCACTGAACCCTAACACTTAGATTCCCACTCATCTTTTTGGTTTTTGTCCTTCTCTTTTCTGGCCCACTCCTCCTTGTTTTCGTCCTGCTTCTCCTTGTCAGGTTTGGTCACGCTGTCGTAGGAAGGCAAAGAGGCTGTAGATGGTGTGCTCTCCTTCTTCTCTTGGTTGGTCCCTCCATTCTCATACTTATTGTTAGAAAAAGTACGGCGCTTGAAGATGATACCTCGCCGGATGAGGTGGATGCGGTAGGCATTCTGGATAATTCTGGCAGAGACATCCTCCTGTTTGCGGCGAAGCGTGGTGGTGATGGGTTCATACGACACCTTCGAGGGGTTGGCTGCCACAAAACGCTCCTCCATCTGTTGCCTCAGCATGTCCAACTCACCACTGTCACCCAGCACTCGCTTTGTGAAGGCAAACAGGATGTCCAGGCAGTGAATGCGATCGCCACTCACCATGGGCAGGTCCATGGCAATTAGTTCTATAGCGTTGGGCTTTGGCACACGAAGTGGGTGCTCAAGTGTGTCGGCAAAGTCAGCCAGCTTGGCAAAAGTAATAAATTGCGAGGCAGTGGGGTCAAACTTCTCCCAGATCTCGTAGAAGGTCTCAAAGTCGTCTTCACTGAGCGGATCAGCACTTTCCTCTGTGGCTACGCTGAAGTTCTCCAGGATGATGGCAATGTACATGTTGACCACAATCAGGAAAGAAATGATGATATACATTACAAAAAAGAAGATTCCCACTGAGGGGTTTCCACAGTCGCCCTTCACGGATGTACCAGGGTTCTCCAAAAGTGGATCACAGTCTGGTGGGTAGTTGAGGATCGGCAGCAGCAGTCCGTCCCATCCAGCTGACGTGGTGATCATGAACAGAATGATCATACTGTTGCCAAAAGTCTCAAAGTTGTACAAGTCATCAACTCCCGCTCCGTGTCTTACGTAGCCAAAGTTGGACATTCCGAAGATGGAGAAGATGAACATGACCAGGAAAAGCAGTAGGCCAATGTTGAACAGGGCCGGCAGTGACATCATCAGAGCAAACAGCAAAGTTCGAATACCCTTAGCACTTTTGATCAGACGGAGGATACGGCCGATACGGGCCAACCTGATCACCCTGAACAGGGTCGGTGACACAAAATACTTCTCAATGATATCAGCCAGGAACATACCTGGGAGAAAAGAAGAGGGAAATAGATGACCATGAGAATGCAACAGACTCTCAATCTACTTATGAATTGCTTTGCGTCTTCCATCTTCCTTACTCACCAACAATAGACAGGATGACAACCACCACGTCGAAGATATTCCAGCCATTGGTGAAGTAATAGTGGCGAAGGGCAAACAGCTTTAGCAGGAACTCCGTGGTGAAGACGAAAATAAAGATGAAGTTGACCCAGTAGAGGACATTCTCTGTTTCATCTGACTGATCGTCAGTTTCCACCATCATGGTGACCATGTTGAGGCAGATGAGGATCATGATGGAGATGTCAAAGACTTGCTGTGTCACAAAGTCAAACACCATGCCTTGGACCGGGTTCTACAAGCACATAGGACACAAAGAGGGATGAAGTGAAATGAACTGCATCATCATTGAGTAATCTGATCACAAAAGGAATAACCCAGAGGAAAACCCTTACTTACCTGTGGTCGAGGAATAGGTTTCTGTGGCTTTTTGGACCCAAGTTTTTTCATGGCATTGTAATATTTCTTCTGTTCTTCTGTCATGAATATATCCTGGCCTCCAAAGTAAAGGGATAAAAAAAGGTTTTGTTATAATCACATTCATGACACTTTAACGGAAACTCCTAAAGCAAAAATGGTGTTAAAACAGAACGGGTCTTATCTTTTTCTTCTGCTGGTTGAAGTTGTCAATGATCACACCAATGAAGAGGTTCAGGGTGAAGAAGGAGCCAAAAATGATGAAAACGACAAAGTAGATGTACATGTAGATGTTGACTTCATAGCTGGGCTGGTCTTCCACCTTGGAAGGAGGCACAATGTTATTCAATTCCTTGAGTCAATGAGAAGCCTGATTTGATCAGCAAAAATGTCAAACACTTCCTTAAAGTTTGTTAAAGGTATGGCATACAGAGAGAGAAATATGCATTAATATTTATTGAAAAAGCAATGAACATACATTTCTCGAATCCACAGCCGCGTACATAATGTCCATCCAACCTTTGAATGTGGCCTTTCAAAAGAGATACAGGAATAAATATATATGTAGAAACCCAATATTGTATTTTGTAATAAAAAAAACTCAAACCGAAACTGATGGCTGTCCTGCGGAACAGCTTGTGCATGAAAAGAAACAAGTAGATGAAGAAAACGGGCATGGAGAAATAACAAACACACAATACAAAATGAACAACGACAGAACGCCTCAGAGTACTGTTAACGCAAACTGAACTTAAAGTAACAACAGATTCAGGCGAAGAGAAAGAAAAGACAGAAAAATGCATAGGAACATTTGAAAAAGAAAGTGTGTTAGCATGAAATAAGAAATGGGGTAAGAGAGAGAAGCCAGGAGGAGTGACACTCTCACCACTTGCAGCAGGGCGAGGTATCCGGCGCCCACATTGTCAAAGTTGATCTTGACATTCCTCCACCTGACCTCGGTAAAGTTTTGACTAATGAGGGCCTCACACTGGGTCTTGTTGTTGACCACGTCGACAGAAAAGTACTCCTCAGCTGTATGATTCCAACAGTAGTAGTACTTGCCCGCAAACAAGTTGACCCCCATGATACTGAAAATCAGCCAAAAGATCAGGCAAACCAGCAACACATTCATAATGGAAGGGATGGCACCCACCAAGGCGTTGACTACCACCTAGACGAGAGCAGGGAAGACAGGAAATGACATGAGAACCAGGAATCAAACGCATCTCTTTCAACCCCTCCGACAAGACACTACATACTGTTATGGCGTTACACTGAGTACTTAAAGCTGTTCAACCCTTTGTTAAAGGTGATGTTAGGAGTAGCATTTTCAAATCTATTAGGATTTAATGTAGTTGAAAATAAGCACTGCACAGCACTGTGATATACATACTGACGTGGGGAATAAAGGGAGGGAGCTGTATCAGTCCCTTTCTAATTAGAGCAGCACTGATGTGACTCTGGGATGCTCTTTGATCTGTCGAAGCATGCGGCTAGAAGTGCTTAAGGGATACTCAAGCACACACATACACACACTTAAACTTCCACCAAGGAAAATTATGATTTAAAAAAGCTTTAAGAATGTTTATGATGTCAAATGTACAGCCTGTAGACTTTGTATGTAAAACATAATAATTTGGGAGCAGCCACAACTCAGAAAACTGTCTTATGTTTCTGGATGGTAGAATAGTAGTATTATATTGCAAGACATGTCATTGATATGTAGTGTGCTGTGTTTTATACTAAAGAGTATTGTAGCACATTTGCATGACAGTTGCTTAAAATACTTTATAAAAAACAGACATATATTGAGTTAATGTTATGTTAATTATAATAGCAACTTACAGTTCACATATTTTATCCTAGTATTTTTTTGAATAAATATACACATATACATAAAGCCTACACTCAGGTATATACATACCCAAGTTAAATGCTTCTTTATAATTTGTCTTTGACTGAATAACATGAAATAATTATGAGAGCAGATGATAGTGATAACTACAATTTATAATATTTGGAGGACATATGTGTGGATGTTTCTACAAATTGACTTTGTAAAGCCTAAATGTCATAAATAAATGAATCACAAGGGTTTGCCATACCATTATGTAGTGTCCATTTTTACCACCCCAACCTTAGACATTCAATACTGAATTCGTACTGATTGTTTACAATAACTAAATCAAACAATATATTAACACTATAGCAGTAAAATAAAAATAAATTGAAGTATAATAATTACCACCACCATCCCAAGAGCTATACTTTAGCAATCCAATCCAATGATTTACCGTAGATTTATCATAGCTATTAAACAGCTCAGCACACATTGAGCCGCTCACTACCAGTGCTAGGCAGGCCAATCAGCAGCTCTCAGGCAGACAGCTGAGCATGCATGTCTTTGACAGACTCGTTTTATGGAGCCATATTCCCTCCTCATCAGGGAGGGAGGGAGGAGCTGCAGAGCACGATTCTCTCAGTGTGTGCACAACCTTCACAGGCTGACTCGTGATGACAGTGATTCTTAAATTTGTGCTGTACAGCGTGCACACTGTAAAATATTGTGTCTGATGCAAAATGCTAAAAGAAAGTGGTTTTAGAATCATGTTCCAAATACAATTAGAGGCCTAAAAATCACTTTTTCCTTCGCAATGCACTCGCTGAGAGAATGACTCTTTGCTCGATCTGAGATCAAATTGAACCGCTTTCAAAAACTTTGTGTTTAAAAAAAAAAGAATTAGGCCATGCTGTGTGGAAAGCATTCTCAGAAAGAGGGAAAATGGCTTTCAAAAATGCAAAATGTGCATCGGCAGTTATAGTACATGCGTGTTACATGGCATTGTGCAATCTCAAAACCCGCTCAAATCAATAAATCAATAAATCGAGAAATGTGTGGATAGAGAGATAGCTGCTACATATATTAATGTTAAAGCTTTGCTTGCTTTTGCATCTGACGAGCCATTTTAATGTTTACATGGTTCGAATGACAAATATCCAAAGGACAATATGGCTGTGAGTTTATATTACATGTCACTTGTTAGACGCTTTTATCCAAAGTGACTTACATACTCAATACTGCGGACAATCCCCCACAGGAGCAATTTGGGGTGAAGTGTCTTGCCCAGGGACACAACGACATGCTGACTGCAGTGGGGTTTGAACCTGTGCTCCCTTGATCCGAACACCACGCTCTACCCACTGCGCCACACGCCTCCTATATAATATGTGTTGGCCACAAGCCATTAAAGTGATTGGGCTTTACAGGTTTTATATAAAGGCCCCATGACGACTTGTGCATTTAATTGCTGGCAAAGATAAAACTATCAAAATCCTTTCAAAAGTAGTTTGGAGTAACTTTAACGTCAGGAGGATTTATTGACAGTGGGGTAAAGATGGCTAGAGATATTGTCATTCCTGTACAATGCATTTACAGATTACAAAGCAGCATCAAGAGAAAGAGGGAGCAAAGTACATAGCCAGAACAGCCTATAATCATTGCATGTTAAGCAGTGCAATGTGTGCAGTCGAAGCTGCACCGCTCACTGTTGAGTTGCTTCTGCGATGCGCCGTGCCGTAATACTCAACCAGCGGGATATAAAAGTTCTCATCGTTCTAACTCTCCAGAATCTCTTTCTTACGGTGTCATCTCTCCATTCATGTACTTCCCTATTCATTTGAGTATTGGTTTGACCTTCAATTTTCCTTTTTCAAACAAAATGGTAACTCAATTGATGAACATTTACATCATAGTGAAAACTTGATACAGCAGGATCAAAGTCCTTGGTTTGTTCCCCTTGGTGTGACTGGGCCACCCTCACCTCTCTGCCCACATGCACCCAGTGACTTGGGTCATTTATATGGGCACTGGCATTGGCAATATTTCCACCCCAAAAATGACAAAAATAATTAGGAGGTCTATTTCCCATCCCAGAATTAATAATTAAACCTATAAAATGTAAAAGAAAACATTAATGACAGCATCCATAAAGCCTATCCAGGGCCTAAACGAATTGATGTCTGCTCATGTGCAACGGCAACACATTTTAGTCGCTGGATGAATGAGATTAATAAAAAATGTAAGATAGATCCACCCACTATAATACTGCAGGCCTTCTCCTCCTGCTAGTCTGTCATTTTTGGGACGTTATAAAAAGGGGCGACACATTGTCTGTCTAGGGTTGAGAGTGTTGTCCGAACGCTGTAATGCTACTCAAGCTATCAACCCAGAACTCAAAGTCAGAGTTATACTGGGCCCCTTGTTGCCTCCCAGTTTCACTTCCTGTGGGAGAGGAAGGCAACAGGTATGTGGTGCCATGACATGACAGCAGTAATGCCTTGTGTGAAATGGTAGCCTAGCATATTTGCTAAGCTTCTGCCTGCGTTCCAGAGGGAAGGCACAATATGTTATTATAAATTAACTATTTAATAAAGACAATGTTTACAAAAATGTACTGTTCTGCCACCAGAATGGACTGTTAGCAGACCCGTCGGTCAGATGGTACGACCCAAAGTGCTGACGCTAGCAGAAGCTTAACAAATATTTTCCTCCCAAAGCCACAACACTGAGTGTGTGCTTTCTCTCTCAGTCCCTGATGCAAGAAGGATCCTGGACAAGCAGGAGAGTGTGGTGACCCTCCAGCAGTCCTGCCCAGCTGATCCGGGGTGAGGTGAAGTGAGTAGTGGAGGGATTAGAGGGTGTGGAAGAGGTGGGGGGGAGAGTGGGGTGGGGTAGATGCTGAACATGTCAGGCTACGGTGAAGAGGAAAAGATCAAACTAGAAGAAAAAAGTAACCAGTCCTTTAGTAGTGAGTAGTAAGAGAGTAAGATCAGGAGTGTTAGAAAGATAGAGGGGGAACTACAGGTGACAACAACCAGGTGCAACCCATCGCTACCACCAGTCATAGACACCCGATCAGATGTTTTAGGAAGGGAAGGCTGAAACAACCAGAGGTACATCTGCTCTGTAAACTCTGAGCGGTTGTTTGGTAGCCGCCCTGCATGCAGTTTTGGTGTGACAGGCTGGGCAGAGGTTTTGGGGTCCTACAACTTCCTGGTTCCTGCTGGTTGTTCTCTATGCCAGATGCATTGTGGGATGGTGTGAGCTGGGGAGGGCAGGTAGGGAGGCCGGGAGGGAAGGAGGGGGTTATGGGAGCATGGGTGAAGGTGGGGGGTTCTAAATTGAAAGCAGTGGTTGAGAATCAGGCCGATGAAGAGCTAAATGTTGACTTGATGGTCTATGAAATGGCATGTAGGTTTGCTTTGATCAATTTTGCATTCCCTTTGGCCAATCAAAAAGAAACAAAGTCATCAAAATATCTAGATTACTTATGTGATGAGGCAGCTTTGTGAAAAAAATATTTATGTTGCTTTTTGGGTAATTTGTTTTGTTTTTTAAGAAATTCAATTGAAATGCATGTTGTTCTGCTGACAATACAACTTTACGGTTACTTTACTCTCCCAGCTGCATCATGACTTGTTCTTTCGCTCTAACAAAGGCATGGTACAGGATTGCGCATGAAAAGGTGGCTTCTTAGCTTTCATTTCCTGGTTTTAAAAACAAATCCCCCAAATGTTTTGGAGTTTTTTGTCCTCATAGTTTTTAGTTTTTAGTTCAGTTCTAGCATGCTTTAAACTGTTGAATGGGCATGCGAAAGGATCAGCTGCTTAGCTTTGGATCTTACCCTCATCCCTTCAAAACGTGACAAGGCTCTGAGGGGTCTCAAGGCCCTTAGTGTCCTGAGTGATTTAATGGGCCCTAGATCGGAGTAGCCCAGCGCATTAGCTACAAGGCTGACTATAGACACCTACACAAAAACAGAGAAGCAAAAGAGGTTCCAAACTGTTAGAAGTGAGAATATTCACTAGGGAAGAGAGACGGCCCTGGCATAGGCGGAGAGTTGCTTTACATACACACATAAATCTATCCATGTATATACATGTATAATATTGCATTTATACATGTATATACACTGAGAGAGAAGGTCAAGGTTTAGTAAAGGACTTATGTGCGTAGTATTTTTAGTAGCAGTGCACCATAGGGATTGTTTGTCTGTTATTTTGGGGCAGTAGACGAGATGTGAAAAGTCCTTTGTACCTGCAAAGAAATGTGAGGTTGAGAGAGAAAGAGAGAAGATAGAGACAAATAGAGGATAAATTAGGCAGAACAGAGTGCTACACGATTTAGTAGAGATACAAGCGAAGGGAAAGGGAGAGCAGAAGAACAGGAGTGGGGGAGGGAGGGAAGGAGAGAGGTTACCCCGTAGAAGCTGACAAAAACCCAACAGAGAGAGCCTTACCCTTGCCCCTCTAACATTGTCTCTCCATGTCGCTCTTGGGCTGAGGCATAAAATCCCATATAATTTAAGACAGACAAACTAATGGGACCTAAGAGAAAGAATACAAGTAAACATGTACAAGTGTGTCATTTTGCCATTAAATCAAATTGTCACACAGCATTTAGAGTCAAATAGGAGAGCCACAGTCACATGAACCACGCACAAGAAACAGGGATGGAGGTTAAGGGCAGACTGGATATAGTTATTAGCACTGGATGGCACTGGAAAGACAAAAATACACAGTCGAGTTACACCCAGTTAACGGTTAACAATAACAGCACATAACCTCAAAGAAACTGGTGCGGCCCCTCTCACGTCCGGCAGCAGCCAAAGAACCAGTCATAGAGTTTTAGTATTAGTTAGACGCACTAACTAAAGCTTCATATAACACTATTCAAAGGAACATAGTAGATGTACAGAACTAAACACATGTAAAATAAGAAATTATGGTTGGACATTTATTCATCCCTTTCAGCTTATTAGACATACAGTAATGTTTTGGGTTCAAATGGTAATATGAGCAATGGGGATTGCGGACAATAATCTTCCCTAATGGTTCTTAAGGGGTATGAGAAGTGCAGGAAAGTAATGATGAAGTCACCTCAAGTGTGCTAAGAAGGCCCTGTTCCAGGCTGCTGGCTGCGCAGGGTGGCTTTGTAATGAAGGATTCTTTGGCTGAATGCAGATTATTCTAGATGCAAAACGCAAGAGTAGGTAGCTATATCAGAACTAGGCCAAATACAGACAAATAGTTTAGTTCAAGAGTTAGAACATGATTTAAGGCTCTTTTTAAAAAAAAAATGCAATCCGGGTCTGGATGCTGGAGGGACGGAAACAGGGGAAGTACCAGTTCCTCACAAATAAGGGAAAATATCAACAGTGAACAAATGTGAAAAGCACCTCCCACCAGCATCAACCGGTCAAACTCACCGCAAGAAGTACACAACATCCAAAGCTTACCAAAGTCACGGAGGGAGGTTTGTAACGGGCAAAATCTTCATTTTGACTGATGCCATTATCAACATGGATCTGGCTCTAACTTTTAACCAACTAATCGTGGATGGTGGGAACAGCAGAAAGGGTGGCAGCATGGATTCAGACTCCTCACTGTGCATGGGCATGTTGGGCCATGATCAAACATCAGAAAGGGCCTTTATTTAGATTCTCTATGGCACCAGGGAAATATTTAAATCATTACTATTTACATAAATTAACAGCTGTTCTGGTTGGGGAGACAGTAAAATAAAGATTTTGCCTTGATCTACACTACAGTGTTTGGGGTAATTGTCACCTTCAGCCTGACCCCTTGGAGAGCCCCCTTTTGGGGCGCCTGGCCTCTGGCCCCCTGCTGGGCCAGCTGTAGGGAAGCGACCTCAGAACCTCAACGTCCTTCTCACAGAGCTCTGCAAGGCAAGGCCAATGACATCTGGGGCTGTGATCCCATGATGACGACAGCACAAACCAAACAGAAATAAAACCAAACTAAAAAGAAAAAAGGGAAAAACACAACAAAACAATGATAATAATCTGAGTAAAAAGAAAAATGAATGGAGTATGACAGCTATCATCCTCACATCCACACAAAACACCATGAACACTATTAAACAATACTTACTAACCCTAGCTGCGTCATCACTTCAAACAGCTAATATGAAATGCTTATGGGTTATTCCCTCTACAATATGAATACTTGTTTGTACAATGTGAGGTAATTATTAAATATATAATCATTTTCCTTTTAAATAGCAGATGTTGTGCTTACATAGCTATGCCTTAAAGTTTGTTTTTAATAAACTCATCTTTAAAAAAAAATTAACTTTAACATTACATTATAAAAACATAACAATATACAAAACATTCTTATAAAGAAATCAGGAAGGCTAATCAGATGGGCAACAGAAAGATGCAGTAACACAAGGGAAATGAGGAGAAACACACTCACACAAAGAGTGGGGCGCATACACACTGAGAGAAAGAAACAGGCCGGTCTAATGATGGTGCCCCCCCTTTCTGAGTCCATGGCAATGGTTTCACCCAACAACACACGAGGCACAATCAGGCCACAACACAACCCAGACTCAACAAGTCGCTCTTTTTTTTTTTGGAGGGGGAGCGCTAGTGAAGACCAAACTTACCGCTGGGCGCCTGTCACCCACCATCATTACATCTCAGCACAATATCACCACATTCCTGAGGTTACCATTTCAAGAGGGAACGAGAGGAGGAGGGGGAGGAGGGGAAGGAGGGATGCCACTCTCTGTGACATGTTCACAACTTGGGGAACGTGGCGTCCCGCACCGTCCCAAGTGTTGGGCTTCACAACACACCTACAGGGAGGGAGGCTACAATGGCAACAACCAGAATCAGTACAATGTGGTATGATAAACTCTATGTGTGCTGTTACCTTTAAAATATGGTTTAAAAATAGCTGTACACGGAATCTTTTGGAAGTGTCTTAATATAATTATGTGTCATTTTGAGTAATTGTATATTGTTTATGGCATATCATTAATGTATGTTTGTTGCAAGAGATCTGAGATAAAGGAGCTGTTAATGATTCAACATGGCAACCTTTAGCCATTGATAGGAGTCCATTCACGGGTATTGGCTGGACACTGCAGAAAGGTGGTTAGTTCAAGGAGAAAGTCAGAAATCAGGGGAATTCTTATTCTATCCAAATGCTGCCACTCAATGCAGATTACTCCTTTATTCAGCTTTTATAAAAAAAATCAAATGTGTAACCCTTCTATCTATGAAAATGGTTCCCTCATGTCTTCCCCACATTGAATCCTCACTGAAATCGCTCACAGTTTAAGGTCATGTCGTGTTTATAGTAAACAAGACTAAACCTGGTAATATATATAACTACCAAAGAATAGATTCAAGAAATTCCCCTGTTTCGGTCTTTCAATCTTGACTGACACAAGGAGCAGAGAAGTACACAGAGAGAGAGAGGACAAAGGCAAATATCAAACATCGTACAGGTTTAGAGACACAGGCGAAGACACATTTACATAGACACATCTTTGGCACGTCCCATTGCTCTGAGCATGACTTGAATATAAACAATGAGCGTAGTTATTGGTTTGCTGATTCTAATAGGTGTTAGCATTCATGCTTAAATAGCGTGTTGATCAAATGTTACCAATTTCTACTAAATCTGCCTAAAAACAGTAAAACTGGTGTCTGCACCACCAAGGTAAATAGACGACACAGATTGTTGCTTGTGGCGCACCAGAGAAAGTGCTTTAATTCACAAGCAAACCATTGTTGTACATACTCAAGCATCTCAGAGTGATACACCAAGAAAGAAAAACAGGGAGTTTGCTTGATGGAAATGTAAAAGGTGATTTGGGCATGTGTGCACTGTAAATGGACAGACTGCAGAAGAGTCTTGCAAAACACTGACCTAATAGCAAGAATAAATCAAAATATAGAGAGAATGTATTGTAGACAACATGCCCCACTCACCTAATGCATGCCATTCAGCAGGTAATCATTTAATAAACTTACCAATTAAACCTAACCACACCCAACAGACAACAATAGGGCAACACTTTGAATTATAAAAACATCATGTATTATAATCCAATTGTTACAGCATAAATTAGCCTAAGCTCTGCTGCTTAATAGACTTTGTTTATCTTGTGTTGCTGTTGGACCAGGGCGTGGTTGAGGACCGAATAATTGTTTCTACTTTAGTCTACATCACAAGGTAAAGGAAACAAGAGCTGGACTTACATCCACAATGAAGAAGTCTAGCCAACACCAAGCATTGGTGAAATACTTGACAAAACCGTAGGCGACCCATTTCAACAACATCTCCAGGATGAAGATGTAGGTGAAAACCCTGTCAGCGTACTCCAAAATGATCCGAATGGTCTTCCTCTGCTCGATGTACACATCTTCAAAAGCCTGTGAAGAAACAGGTCCATGCATCAGCCATGACAAACGATTCAAAGGAAAAAACACTCCTAATGATTTATGATTCCACTAATGAAATTGTATTCACCACTACAGCCTGCTCATCGCTGATCAGTAACATTGATTTACTGGATACAAAATAAATCTGTTCTGTATGATATATTTAACTCCACAGCTGGTGTAGATTTGCAGCTCTTTTATTGTAGCATTTGACATGCGTGAGAACCCACTCCATCCCCAGAAATAAAACCCCTGTTTAATAAATGGTACAACCCATTAATCACAGGCGCTCCTGGCCCCTCCCCCAACCCAGCAGCACTGAGACAGAGAAACCAAACTGACCGCACCACCGATATACTACAGATACACACCTCTATTTTAAATTAATCATCTTCATTCAATCTTAATACAGTTTTGGTTTTCTCCTGTCAGTAAAATGTGTGTTTCGTTTGAATTTTAATATAATTTGTGCTGTCACAATTATCAGTATTACTGTCAGTAAGAGTTCAATAATTTATAATTGAACATTGGAAGCTTTCAATGTAGATATTACACCCCCCTCAAAAGAAATGTAATAAACAGTGAGCGGTTAGATGTGATAGAAATCCAGAAAATCCCATTATATTCTCAATCATTTATTCTAGTAATTTTAAGTCTGAACTTATATTATAAATTTACTCAGTTGGTCCAAATATGGAGAAAAGAAAATCTCATTTGACTTTGCAAGAAAATTAAACATTTCCATAAAATATACGTATATCATTAAGTATTTCTAACGTGGCTCTTTTAGCCACTTCTTTGTGTAGAACGCATTGCTTTTTAAAATAATATTTGTACCCGTTTCTTATCATTGACGCTCTTACATTTTTATAACTGTTTATGTTGCTTAATTTTTTAAGATATAGGCCTGTAGTAGGCCTCCTTACCAGGGCACCGCTACTGAGGAGGATCATGAAGATGATGACGGTCTCAAACCAGTTGTGCTCCACTATCAGGTAGCAGGTTTTTCTCAGGTACCACCACTTCTTCCACCAGCCCGTAGAAATGTCAACCACACAGCACTTAAACTTGGCCAAACAACCTGGGGGCACACAGAAGGAAAGACAACATTTGATAGTTAGATAAATTACAGCCCTATGTCTAGAATGTTGTCCAAATTCCAGTCTTTAAATGGATATTTGGGTTTTTGAGAACACCATTTTTTCTGCTTACTCAGAGTGGAAGTATTTTCTATACCTCTTCAAGCAGTTAAGTCTAATTTTTGTTTTGAAGGTTGAATAAGTGGCTTGGTTAATCAAACTTAGCTAAAATGTTTTGGTATCATATCCTAAGATTTCTATTATGCATCATATACATCTTCAATACTGAATTATTATCCAAAATGTTTTCTTGCCCCTACTGTATAAAAAATAAATAATATTCATGATTTTCGTAAACTAAACAAAAAAACCTAAGCTTTATCTATGAATAAAGAGATAAAATATGTAAAGTTCTATGTAGTTATGTATAAGAGTGTGTGTCATAAATAAATAGACGGACAGACTGATAAATAGATTGAGTCTTCATGGCTGAGTGACTCTTCATAATGAAACTGTCCTTCCCCCCCTATCACCCCCCTATCGTTCTCAATGAGCCCACGGGAGTGTCTGTGCTGTGGAGTGGAGGTAATGTGTGTCATGTGAGCACTGGTCTCACCATCTGTCCAACACGCGTCTGGATCCAAGTATTCCTCCACAGTTTCCACCACCACCTCTTCCACCACATCTGGCTTGATGTCGATGGTGCTGCCCTCCGAAGAACTGGTGTCATCCATCTGCAGAGACACAGACATGTGAGCACACATTTACACAGATCCAGACACATACAGAAACACTTGAACAACGTTTCAGTTTCAGGAATCTAAGCTAAACCGGTCTGGACACAACAGGAAATGTCCATTATATGTTATTTCCAAATTCTGTTTGCGGAGTTCTTAAAAGCGGAAACATCTTTGATTACTTTTTGATCTCAGAGGGGTTTTCCCATATTGAGATGGACAATAAAACAATCCTGAACATCATTTATCATCCACATGAACACTGAAATGGAATATCAAATGGCAGATCATCGCCTCTGAAACTCTTCTAAATGCAATTTTGTCAAAAGACAAAGTCATCAGATATCCATTTCATCCACATTGCATGCCTGCTCCAGCCACTCTAGATGAATTTATTGAATAATGGAGTTATGTTAGTTTCTGAACACTGCAGATAATTTAGCAACACTCATAGATGTATAGCCCTGAGAGCTTACACGGTGTAGAGTAACTGAGGAATAAAAAAACAACACGTGGCACATTTAGTATTTACATTTTGTTATTTTAAAAGCAAAAGTTAAGGATTTAATTAGTTCTTAGAAATGCTAGTTGTATTCTTATCCTTGCCTCAATTACCGTGGAAACTATTGGAATTAAATAATATATATGTATTCTTGGAACTGACCTCTTTGCTGTTCTCATTCTCCGACTCGCTGCTGAAGTCCTCTGTGTTCAGGTTCTCAAAGTCAGACTCTCCCACAGCGATGGGCACGCAGACGGTCAGGTTCGGGTTGTGGATGAATGACATGTGGTCCTCATCGATCATGTACTTCCCCACGCTGCTGCCTATACCGCTGGTTGTGCCGTTACCATTCTTGGCGTAGTCCAGGTCACGGTTGATGTCCACCCCGCTGTGGTTAGCAATGCAGTTCAGCTTCTTGTCATACATGTCGTCCAAAGGCTTATGCTCGTCCTCCATCTGTGGTTTCTTCAGCAGACTGGCCACCACTATGCGCATCTTTGCTTTAAACCATGCAATGCCTATCTTGATACGCTTTACGGAAATCTGCAGGTTGTTGGGCTCACCGTCGTCATCTGTTGCAGCCAAGTTGTCGGCGCTGAAAGAGCTCAGCAGCAAGGCAAGAAACAGGTTCAACACCTTTAAATGAGAAGATGAGAATCAGTAACTGGAAGTAGAGTGCCAAGTTTTACCACAGTCTGACCACATTATATCCCTGAAAAATGGGTTTAAAGGTCCCATATTATACTGTTTTTCATCAATATATTATAGGTATATACAAAACATGTCTCTGAAGTGTTTGGCCTGAAAAACCAAACAGATCGTGCACTGTAGCATCCCATAAACCCCTCTGTTCCAAAAGTGCTGATTTTCTGTCGGTTACTTTAGATGAAAATAAGGAGCCACTCCCCACGCCCCTCTGCGAGATATTTGGTTAAAAAGAACACAATGGTGCTCTAGGAGGAGATTCAGGTGATAAGGTGGGGGGTGTCACCTTGGTTGGTGATTGGCTCATGGTTACACAAGCCAAAAAATCATTATGACATCATAAAGTGGCCAAAATCTGATCAGCTCATTTTCAGACAGGTTTTTATATAAATGGATCAGGACCAAAAGAGAGCGAATCTTTTTTCCTGAAACGTTCAGAATCTCTTTACACAGAGGGGACACATGTTTATGTATAAAAACATGAAAAAGTGATTTTGCATAATAGGTGACCTTTAAGAAAACAAAAGAAAAACCTGCACACCCAATATGGACACTTACCACCAGGTTACCGATGACCATGACCATCATGAAGACGAGGAGACACATGCCCTGACCCGCGACCTCCATGCAGTCCCACATGGTCTCAATCCATTCACCGCACAGCACCCGGAAGACGATCAGGAAGGAGTGGAAGAAGTCGTTCATGTGCCAGCGGGGCAACTCGCATTCAATATTGATCTTACACACACAGTCTTTGTAGCTCTTGCCAAACAGCTGCATACCCACCACGGCAAAGATGAAGACGATGATGGCCAGCACCAGAGTCAAGTTTCCCAAGGCTCCCACCGAGTTACCAATGATCTTGATCAGCATGTTGAGGGTGGGCCATGACTTGGCCAGCTTAAACACTCTCAGCTAGAAATGGGGTTGATGGAAAGAGGTGAAGAAATCTAGTCACAACATTTAAGCTTAACTTACTTGTTGCTTCAATTTTGTGAAGTAAAAACAGTATATACAGCTTTGAATCCTGCAAGAACACACAGTAAATCAAGTTAACTTGAACAACAACATTTACAAGATGCTGACTCGACGAACTACAATGAGTATTTACCAATCGGAATGACCGCAGCACAGACAAGCCTTCCACGTCGGCCAGAGCCAGCTCCACTAAACTCAGCGTCACAATGAAACCGTCAAAACAGTTCCAGGCCTCCTGGAAGTAGTAATACGGGTCCATAGCCATCAGCTTGAAAAGCATCTCTCCTGCAAAGATCCCTGTGAACACCTGGCAAGAAGGAAAGGGAACAGATTGGAACAAAAATGGATTTGAAGCATGGTGGGTGATATTTAGTAATATCTACTATGTGAGTTGTGCATTTTAGATGTTAAAAGGTTCTCGGTTCTAAATACAGAGCAGAGGGATTAACTCCACACAGATCTCAACATGGAGCCCACTGGTAATGGTTTGCGCCCTGGTATTACGGAAATAGTGCAACAAATAACAAGTTAAGCATAAACTCTTTTGTGCATGCTTTGACTCATGTGGCATGGACTAATACAGATCAGTGAAAAAAAAAAAAAATAATAAAATACATTGTACTGTAATTAATTCCCAATGCTGTTCAGAGTAATAACTGTCTCACATTGTACATGGATCTACAGTTTAGTAATTACTGTCATTTGTGTTACATCTCAGTTTGAGACTGTTGGGAAAATACTGAATGTACTCTTCTAATATCAGAGTAGCACATGATAATAAAGGCCCTACGTAGCTGTGTACGTAACCGGATGTATGATTACCTAGAAGAGCGTCAGGACACATTGTTTTAGGCATATGATAGCTATGTGACAACGATTAACATGATAATTCAGCCCCTAGAGAGATAGGCACATGACTGTCATGTTTATTGCTTACGCAGGCCTTAGCTAATCTGAACTAAGGCCAGAATACTGCTTTGAACCGGTATTCCTGCATCTTGTCACTGTAACACCCTGTCTTGTATATAAGGCATGTGAAGGACAATATTCGGGGAACAATTTTGTCCCATGCAGCTCTGTATGTGATGACTACTTCCATTATTGCAAGGATAATAAATACATGTATCCTGATATTGAAGCTAAGCCGGTGACGAGTGATATTTTTTTAACAGAGACGCTGACACAACAAAAGTGATACTGAAAAGTAAAACAATAATCACAGTGCCAGAGTTCAAGTTTAATCAGGTTTCTTGAAAAGGCTCATAGCTAAAATGGCCAGGTCGAGTTATCCAAGCCATTATTCAGGCACTATTTCAGAGCTCATCGATCAGGCTGCATGAAATATGAATGCAGGCCTCCCACCAGTCAGCCAACTTGCAGAGGCAGGCTGGTCCCACTGAAGCAAACAGCAGCTCCACACAAGCAGAGGAGAGAAAGAGAGATAACAGGAGTAGACAGGGAACATGTGCATGGGAAGAATGAGAAATTCATGGATACAAGGTCACAGCAGGGTGTAGAGAATGTTTATTTCCCATCCTTTCATCTTTGAATCTGCAATGAAAGAGCTGCCAATTACAGTTCCAAAAATAACATCTCTATGAGCTGCAAAGAAGAAGCAGAGACGATTCTTAACCTGCAAAAAATAGTATCCTTTTTAAAAGAACAAAAAGACGCCACTCACCAGATTGCCTACAGACAGCATGTGTTCAAAGTCGGGGGTCATGGGGTAGTGCTCCATGGCCATGAAGAGGGTGTTGAGGACGATACAGATGGTGATGGCTAAATCCACGAAGGGGTCCATGACAATCAGGTTCATAATCTCCTTGGTCTTAATCCAGTTGGGGGAGCACTCCCAGATCAGGAATGTGTTAGAAAACTTATACCAGCATGGCGGACACTTGCGCTGAGACTCCTCCAGTTCTAAAGACATAGCGCGGATCACACATCAAAACCAAACATACTTGCGTGCATGAGCATAACACATGCAATGGTATCAAATGATAATAAAATTGTATGCATTGTATGTATCTGGTACTATTGGATATGCAAAGCAGATAAGCAGGAAATTCATGTCAAACTAATCAACCAATGAGAGCAGCCCTAGTTAAAGAATAATGAGAGAGCATGTTAAATAGCTGGGTTAAAGTGGCAGTACCCTCCACTAGTGTGTTGGTAATGACGCTCATGACACTGTTGGCCCGCTCTTTCCGCCCAAAGGAGGTATTGAGCTGGTCCACAGACACCATCAGGGAGCCCGACATTTTCTTCTTCACCTCAACCTCAGTAGTCGGCTGTCAGGGGGAGAGGAAGAATCAAGCACCCATGGAGAGGACATGAACACCATCCCACATCACCACCGGTGGTCGGCGGAGGGAAGTGCAACAGCATTGGCAGGAAAAAGTAGTAGATGATCAGATTTTTGAAGTGGGGGTTATGTTTCAGTCTTTTCTATATCAATGCTGGTTTCAAGGAATATGTGTGTATGCTGTAAAGGCATGCAGGTCTCAGCCAAAGTGGGAGCAGTGGTCTAGGGCTACTTGACCTAATTGTGTTTGAATGTAATTAGCTCATCCAGATTAAATAATAAATGGATTGTGCGATATTGTGCAAGGAGAATTGCTTCTGCATGAATGCATTTTCAGTCCTGTCATGCAATAATGGAGGCTTTGCTGCCATTGCAATATAATCATTAGGTTATTTTACAAGATGTCTCCCAAATCTGGCAATTTTTTAAGTGACTTGCAAATTGATGTTACTTTATCTTCCTACTTTGAAACCATACAACTTATATTGCAACAATCAAGTCAGGAGCATTGTTAATAGTTTCTAAAGAGTTCAGATCAATCCGGTTGTCATGCATGAGCATGCTCCAAGTCAAAGAGAAGGAGAGGAAATTACAGACACCATAGCCATTGTTCTACTTGTTCATGCTTGTTCTAATTTAGGGTTTAGATTCACCATGCTAACTAGAATAAGACACAACTAATTCACTAATGTTGACCAGGGAGTTTTTGGTAAACAGAGAAAGGTTAAGACACACAAGGACACCAGCCCTCCGTCTTTCTTAAATTACATATTAATAAGGAAGGCCTGATAGGATAGTAAGTGTAACTTCTGTATCTGCTTTAGGATATTAACAGTGTATTAGGGAAGCAGTTAAAAAATGTCTGTTGCTTTAATGCTGGTCCCCTCTGTTCCCTCCGCCTCCTACTGAAGATCTACCCACACAGGCTAGCATAGGACCAGGATGCCTGGAGGAGGAACACATCAACACACTAGAGCATCGTTATATGCTGTTTGTTATCACATATTGAGTCGTATTACTAGAGTGTGTTACACAGGAACTTAATGACGTCCCACAAAGCTTTAGTTTGTGCATTAAATATGAATCAGGCTTCTGTATATGTGCCAAAATCTTACGGGCAAATGGGGAGCAGAATAATAATCGAATCGTGTCTGTATGACTAGTGCCTGTAAAATAGTGTGGGTTAGGTGTATATATAAATGAATAATTTGATATCAACATTCAAAACATTGACATTCATCGATCAAATCAAACAACAAAATTGCCTGGAATTCACTGATAGACCCAGTTTCACTAACCTATCAGATACAGGGTTGGCTATAGCATATTCACTATTCAAATGTATTTATTTCTCCATCCTTTGCCTACTGTCGGAGGGCAGCATACACTGCAGGGGCTGGGGGAGGGGAGGCGCGAGTGCTTAGCCAAGAGATACATACGAACTTGCAAAGATGACAGACTAGTAGATAGAGAGCAAGAAGAAAAGAAATGGACGAGAGAGGGGCCATGCCTAGATAGGACTACTCATAGACTTCCTTACACTGTCGTCAGTAGCTGCCTTATCTATTTTCACCTCAGGCAGAAGGCGTCCACCGGGCCCACGGCCGATGAGCGACACAACGCCGTTGCAGTCCACCGTGCTGTTCCTCTTCCCGTGGAAGCCGCTGTAGCTGTTCCGTCGATAGGGGCTGAACAGCGAGCCCCGGCGCTCCTCACACTCCTCCACCGTGCTGTGCTCGTCGTCTGCAAACTCGTTCTCTGAGCCCACGTCCTTACCACGGCCCTTGAAGCTGAAGATGCTGCTCTTGCTGTTGTGGCGGGACAGGAAAGGCGAGCCGGGTATACTGAGGAGGGACTGGAGGTAAAAGAAGGACAAGGAGAGGAGACATTTGTGTAATTGATGTAGCAGAGGGCGTTTCTGAATTACAATTGATTGCAGCATCATTCTTCTGCTGTTTGTCATCAGTTACGGAGGTCATGATGAAAGCAACATCTGTGGGGTGTGAGAAATGTAATGCGACCAGGACCCTTTTCCCCAAGGAGGCATATTCTGCCAGAGCAGTCATGTGACTTAATAAATGGAGGGAATTACATAATTAGGTCAGTGATTCCCTACACATTCAAGGTCACACACACAGGACAGAGATGTAGGCAGCTGAAATAACATAGAGAGGAACATGAGTCATGACAACATCAATCTGGGCTGCTGCTAGTATTGATCCAAATATTATTAAAAGTGCACACAGGGTATGCTATCTCAACTGGAATCCCATTTCTTTTAGAACAATCCTCTGTTACATTGTGCCAGTGCTCCTGATCTTATTTTGTAATCCTGCACTGTAAAACACATCATAAGAGCGGGTGGAGCCCTCGTGAGGCCTAAGCAAAGCTGCAGGATTGCTCCCTTTGAAACATTCGTGTGTTCACCGTGAATAATTCAGTACCTGGACATGTGTTTCTATATCTCTGGCCACTTTATGCCCCTCTATATGCGAGTTCATGCAACACCATTATGTACTCTACAATAGAGGGGCACTCTTAATTGGAAAAGTCAGTCGGACAGTCAAAACCGACACAGCCACATTTAATAAAGCATCATTTTTTTCACTGGCATCTATATTTTATTAATGGGTATAAAAAACACATCTCTTCTAATTATGTGCCTCTGATTTTATAGATGTTTGTTTTAAGGTTTGATTTAGTAATTATCAATGAGCCTCAAAAAGCTTAAAGGGTCAGTTTACCCACGTGTTATCAAGAAATGCACAGTTACACTTTTATATGTTGGATTTGTGTCTGTGAGATGTCTGCCACCAACCTATTACAATGGAGATACTACAGTAGAATGTCTAAGCTTAAATCAGTCAATTATAGTCCTCTTAAAGGTCCCATGTCATGGTTTTCTGGTTATTACCCGTCCCCTTGTGTGTTATGAAGGTTTTTCTGCATGTAAACGGTCTGCAAAGTCACAAACCCTCAAAGTACACCCTGTAGCGAGTAAAACTGTAACACAGAAAAGACCTGTCTATGCTGCCCCAGAACGCCTCGGTGGAGATTTCTCTTTTTCCATTGTTTTTCTTCCTGGGTATGGTGAAGTGCCCATACCCAAATGGACCCATTGGTCCAAATGGACCAATCCGTGGAGCCGTTACGTTACGTCCGCGGAGCCGTTACGTTAAGTCCGTGGATTGGTCCAAATGGACCAATCCGTGGACTTCCACACTCAATCTTTTCTCAGCTGCAGCTCCGCCGATTTCTCCTCCCTGAGACGGCGGGATGCGGCGAGGCTGTGAGTCGGTGTGTGAGCACACACACAAACTCCCAGCCAGGCTGCGGGTGTGTGTGTGTGTGTGTGTGTTCGGGCTGGGTTTCGGGCTGGGTTTCGCTGTGTCTCGCTGTCTCGCAGACGGCTACTGGGCTCATAGGGAGGGGGGGGGGGGGGGGGGGGGGCAGGAGCTCCAACAAGCCGTTTAGGACAGAGAGTGAATACACATACTATACAGAGATGCTGTATGAGAAACCAATGTGATTTTGGAACATTGCACAATTTATATCTATTCTAGTAGACCTCAACAATGGAATTATGATCAGTAGAAATGGCCATGACATGGGACCTTTAAAAAACTAAAAAGTTGTTCCTCCACAGAAATGTCCCAGTGACTCAAGAGAATCCATGAACCTCTCTTATCATATTGACAAAAAAACATTCTAGTCACTAAGAGTCAGACACAGAAATGTAAATCTACCCCTTTAAATTCTGCTAAATTGGAGGATTATCAAAACGCATCCAGCCATTAATACTTCTTTTCCTCACCTGGTTCATAATGGAAGACTTTCGACCGAGGCGATTATCAGGGAACCGGAATCGGCTCCTCTTGCTGCCGTCATCCGACTCTGACTTGACAAACTTCTCGCTGTCGCCTTTCTCCTTGTCCTGCTCTTTCTGCCGCCACTTCTTCTTACGATTGCGCCGCTCTTTTGCACTCTTGGAGCTGAGCTTTGACATCTCAGAGGAACTGCATGACAGACGCCCTCCTCCATCGTCCTCTACCGCGTCCTCTGACACTGTCCCCGCAGAGGTTGCCATGGCAGCCATCTGCAAAAAGAACACACAAAGGAAGTCAGAACAATCATACAACATTAGTAAGGAATAATGTGGTGCTCCGTCCGTGCGGAGGGCTGACCTGGACGTCTTCCTGATGTCTCTTGAGCTGATCCAGCATGGCCTTGAATTCCTCCTCCTTCCGAATAGCCTCTTCCATGGTGGCCTGGTTCTGCTCCTCGTAAGCCATGGCCACCACAGCCAAGATCAGATTCACCAAGTAGAACGAGCCCACAAAGATCACCAGCACAAAGAAGAGCATGTAGGTCTTCCCTGCCGCCCTCAGCGTCTGTGGGGAGGCAGCGCAGCAGAGGTGAGGGGGGGAGAGACTTCATGACATCTGATACATAACATCAAGAGTCAGGTTCACATCTCTGACAGTGACTCATCAGAAATAAACAGTCAGCTGTTTGTGGGGGAAAGGCTGAATTGCAAAAAAAATGTAAATGTGTGTCTTGGAAGAGGTACCAACATGCTAAAATCAGTTCTACCATCATCTCATTCATTGATGAATAGATATACAGGGATAATCTCATACCCGGTTCTCAGCATGAGCCGAATGTTTCATCTGGGAGAGTCATGAGATATGCATTTTGACCTACTTTCTCTGCACACTCAATCAACCAGCACACAGCCAAACTATGTATTCAAATGGGAGGGGATGCTATCCCCCGTGGAGACAGGAAGTGAGGAGCCTGAGCTTCAGAGGCACAGCAGAACAAATTAGACTATTTGGGGTTTATCTTGAATTTGTTTTTTTAGAACATAGTGCCATCCTTCATTTTACAGGGTATTGGTACATCTATATGTGAATAAACATGTTTCTTTTTTTGTTTTATTCCCCATAGGTATTCAAGAGGCAGAAGGACCTCAAATTTGAATGTTATGTTCTCACTAAATAACCTCTTTTGGTCCTTTTAAAAGGCAGACTATTGTCATCAGGGCCTCCTATCATAGAGAAGTGAAATACCATTACAAATGAATTATGAATGGTGTTGACATGTAGTTCTGGAAAGTGAATAAAACATAACATTTCTAACGAGAAGCACAGACCGATTAGCCGTCCAAATCATTGTCTTTTAGTCCCACACATCACCTAATCTCATGTGGACAGGTTAAAGTATGAACAGTAAGATCTTGGCTCTGACACATCAATTTCATTTCATTTCTGAACATCTGACAGATAAGAATTCAACATCCTTTCTAAACAAAGCTGCATTATCATTAATCTCAGGACACAGGACAAAATAGCAGTGCGAGCCTGTAGCTAGAAGCTGAATTTCAAAGATGGGAGCAAAAATAGAAGTATGAGCTGCAATGCTCCCATCAGATCTCATCTCCCTCATTGGCCATACTGTAATCCTGAGCCGTTAATATTTCATGCCTCCTTCCTTCCACTCAGCCTCCGCCTGTGGAGGCAGGAGTGTCTCCACAGGCTCTGTGTGGGACAGAAGTGGCCTGCCTACAGTATGCAGATGAGCCTAGTGGGAATCAAGGCAGGATGATCCGCCATTTTCTGTCTGAAAGGTGGAGTTACAACACACTAGAACGAGGAAACAGTGGAGAAGCTCAGCTTGTTTCAGGCTTCACTGCAGGGGCACCCAAGTCTCACAGGATATCTGCTTCCAACAGGACGCAATATTTATAATTTATATGACTGAGAAATCTAGAATTTCAAGAATGATAACCAATTAATGAAGGGACTAATTATTGTGGCAGCACTATGTTATTTTACTGTTTCTAGAAAGTAATATTTGATAAGTTGTATGTGTTGTATATGCTGTAGCCTATGTTACAAGCTGAACTCGTTGACAAATCAGCTTTACCAGCATGTAAAGGTTTTCCCAGAAGTCCTGTGTCATGAGGCGGAAGAGAGCCAGGAAGGCCCAGCCGAAGCTGTCAAAGCTGGTGTAGCCGTAGTTTGGATTCCTCCCAGCTTTCATGCATGTGTAGCCCTCCGGGCAGCGGCTGAGAGGCGGAGGGAGAGAAAAGAGAGAGAATGAGAGAGGAAGAGGGAGAGGGGCACCCGGCCCAAAAAATGAGTCAGCACTGTATATTTAATAATGTAATCTGACTTAAAGGTCCCTTATTATACTGTTTTTCATCAATATATTATAGGTCTCAGATATATACAAAACATGCTCTGAAGTGTTTGGCTCTAAATACCAAACAGATCACCAATAGAGTGCCACAGTGACGCGTCCTAAAACCCGGAAGTAAGTTAGCATTTTACCACGTCCGGTTCAACCAATTGCAATTTCTCCATAGGATTTTGGAAAATAGCTCGAAATAAGGTCTGTGGGTGACACAAATTGAAGAGACAGATCACGTTTTGTTCAGCCGGATAATATCCACATGTCTACCCTACTTTTATAATTTTCTAATCATAAATCTAATCGATAGATTTATGATCGATAGATTTATGATCGATAGATTTATGATTCGAAAATTATAAAAGTAGGGTAGACATGTGGATATTATCCGGCTGAACAAAACGTGATCGGTCCTATAGAGAAATTGCATTGGTTTTTGTCGAAGGAACCGGAAGGAGTTTACTTCCGGGTTTTAGGACGCGTCACTGTGACACTCTATTGAAGCATCCCATAATCCCCTCTGTTTCAGCCCTGTTTCAAAGGTGCTGATTCTCTGTCTGTTACTTTAGATGAAAATAAGGAGCCACTCCCAACGCCCCTCTGAGAGATATTTGGTTAAAAAGAACACAATGTGCTCTAGGAGGAGATTCAGGTGATAAGGTGTGGGGGGGGGGTTACCTTGGTTGGTGATTGGCTAATGGTTACACAAGCCAAAAAAACATTATGACATCATAAAGAGGCCAAAACCTAATTTTCAGACAGGTTTTCATATAAATGGATCAGGACAAAAAGTGAGCGAATCTTTTTTCCTGAAACTTTCAGAATCTCTTTACACAGAGGGGACACATGTTTATGTATAAAAGACATGAAAATGTGGATTTTGCATAATAGGTGACCTTTAAGGCAGATAAAGAAACTACAGCAGGTCTCTGTGAGGACCAGCAACATTCAGAGAAGGGCAGAGAAGGCAACTCACCCAGAGTCGGAGCTGTTCCCACAGAGAAGAGCGTCCAACTGGCCAGGCAGGAAGTAGTAGTTGGCTGAAGCAAAAACAAAAAGGCATAATGAGTCGTTTTTCTAGCATACCTTTATTCTGAAATGGTCTGTATATCTATTCAAATGTCTGCTCATACATACAATATGTACAATTCTGTGCAGTTTCATTTACAATCTTTTTCTTTTCTTCTATCACCAGCCAAAAGGACATATTGTTTGGTCGTTGTAGCATATGGGCTGACTCATACCCCTAGATTGCTGCCAGCTCACCGTTGGCGAAGCCTAGCCTCTACTCACTATCATTCAGGATGTAATCCTTCCAATCGAAGCTCTTGGTCATGTTGATTGGCCAGAACACACACTTGTGGCGCAGGTTTCCCATGAAGAGCTGGAGACCGATGAGAGCAAAGACGCTCAGGCAGAAGACGGTCAGGATCATCACATCCGAAAGCTTCTTCACAGACTGGATCAGGGCGCCCACAATGGTCTTCAGGCCTTACACACACGTAAGCAAAACACACAGCTGATGCAGGAGAAGAAGCGCCCCAGATATCAATATTTGGAGAATCTACTTCAATTGCAAATGTTCTGTTTTTTAAACTAATACTGCCAATCTAGTAATCCTTTTTAGGGATACTTTTTATTCATTGTGAAATATCACGCTTTTGACTGGATTAAGGTCGAAAGCCGGGAGTGGCAAGACTGTACTTTAATATTCAATTGTTTTTAACTATTTAAGGAATATCTTGTTACTAAATAAGTCAATTAAAAATTTTATAATACATCTAACAGTTAATATATTATATTGCATTGATTTTCTGTGCTAAACATCCAACAAAAAGGGGTTTTATTTATTCAAATAAATAAGACAAGATTTGTTTTTTAAGATCTAGCTAGTAATACACTTTGACAGATGACATACATAACATCTCTAGAAACAAAACAAACAGGAAATATTTAGGAGCATTCCCACTCTTTTCAGATTAATCCAGACATCCATCTTTTTCAGAAGTCAAATCAAATATCAAAGAGACTGTTTTTGAATGGAAGGAATTTGTATTTCATTGCCAATGATGGACAAAGTGAATAAGAGGGGGAAGACTGTAGAAAAGTGAGAGGAAATCCATAAGGAGAGCACAGCAGCACAAAGAGGGGCCATGAGAAGGACAGAGGCACAGGCAAGGGGCTGGAAACCACATGCAGGTCATTTAAACTCCAAGGCTGAACAGGAGAAATTCAACGCCAGTGCCAGAGTGGGCACTTTCTTGAACTGTATGTATAAGGTGTCAACAGGAAAGCACTGAATCCCCATACCGTGACCCTGCAGTCTGTCTCATCCACACCTTCACTCAAGATAAAAGCTGTTTACCTTCTTGAGCATCCTCTGGCAGCGTTCACATGAGTCCACAAGGACCTCAAACATGGAAGCAGGATGACCAGCACCATCTTTTCTGTTTGTTCTCTACAGGTACAGTGGGCTTTACCAGCTGTATACACTGTTTGTTAAATATGCTCTAAATGTAGGCTAACACATCTTACTAAAAACTCCAATTACTTTGCAGTGTCTAACAATTATATAAAAACTACTTTTCTCATCTCGAATGAATGACAAGTCTCATTAAGAAACTATTTCAATTTCAGTTTAGGTAGGGTATCGTAAAAAATATCCACATCTTCCGAAATCATGCCCTCAACTGCACATTGATTGTTTTCAGCTAAACTAAACCAACACTATAAGAGCTACATTTTCCCCACTCCAGTGCTACAGGCCTTCATTCATTATTATTAAAGGGATAGTTTGACATTTTGAGAAATACGCTTATTCAATTTCTGGCACAGAGTTTGATGAGAGGATTGATACTGATATTGATGTCTGTCTGTTTAAATATAAAGCTACAGCCAGCAGCTGGTTAGCTAAGCTTAGCACAAAGACTGGACTGTAACAGTAAGCTTGGCTAAGCCAAAAGGTATGAAAATCCACCCATCAGCACCTCAAGCTTTGTTTGTTTAACCCTTACAATGACAAAAGTGTAAAAACAACAGTTCTACGTTTTACAGGTGGACCAGTACATTTCTGGAGCCCCCCCCCCCCCCCGCCAATGCCTGGCAATGGCTTAGTGCCAAGAAATGGACCAGCATGTAACCCCTTGTAAACTGACATTTGGCGCTTTAGTCTAGCAAAAATCGAACAAAATAGGTATTCATTACTATTTGTTAAAAGAAGGCTAACTGTTCCCTCTGGTTTCAGACTGTGTGGTAAGCTAAGCTAAACAGCTATGTGCTGTAGCTTCATATTAACCAATTAGACATGAGAGAGGTATCAATATTTTCATCTAAATGCTAGAAAATGAGTAAGCATATTTCATTTTGCACATGTTGAACTATTCCTTTAAATACAATTTCAATCCAAATCATCCCTTTTTGTTTGCACTTGCAGGATTTCCTTTTTCATATTTCCAAATGAATATGCGGTTTAAAAAAAGCCATTCACAGCAGTTCTTTTGAGTAAACACGACATCTGTTCCACATACTCTATCAAAAGATAGATGGATGTGTGGTCAGTGTCACTCAAAAAAGGTCAAGAGGTCATTCAACCATCCCATCTGTGTGCCCAACCTCTAAAATGTAAGCACACCGTCTCTTTTTTCAGTGTGGTATATCATTCAAGGAGGTCGTAAAAAAGAGAGAGGAAAGAAAATCAATAATCAAACTAAAAACGAAAGAAGGCAAATCAAACTTTCAATGCCATTTGTCAGCCAAGCTCTTAGTAGGCTAGTATTGTAAAAGCAAGTGACTGAAAAGCATCATGCAGCATAAGAGATATGTTCACAAACTAGGCTTGGCAGTCTTCATACATAAATAATCGGTGAATTCTGTGGGATCTCCCTAAGAACTAATTCTCAAATGAACATACAAGGTTTGTTTATATCCAATTCAATCACTAGTTATAAATGTGCAAACTATGAATGATGTTTTAATTTTCCTTGCACTTCTGTAATAGAATAACTAGACATTTTTGGGAAATTTGAAAAGCCATGATCTTTTCTTAGCTGATTAATATACCATGTATAACGACCTGGTTTTCAACCTCAAATGAGAATACTCTATCAATAATTTACTTTGTAACAGAACAGGGTTTTTTCTAAAGCTGGTAAGAGAGGAGTGGGTTAAAACTAATTCTGAAGGGAAACACAGCTGCTTTGGAGACAAGCCTCGTAATGAGAGTGCTACTGGGGCAGAAGAGAGTGCAGACACTAGAGGAGACTGCAAAGCCTATCAAAAATGTATTAGTACCATTTTTGATAATTTTGGAGGAAAAATAAATCAAAAAATGGTTGTCTCCAATTATTTTGTTGTTGCTTAAATCATAATTGTAATCATAATAATAGTGAGTAGAAAAGAAAGGGTGAGAGGATCAGCCTTAGTGTTTAAACTGAGTCTCACCTGGAATGACAGAGATAGTTTTCAATGCTCGGAGAACTCTGAATGTTCTCAGCGCAGATACATTGCCCAGGTCCACAAACTCTGTTATATATCTGAAACAGGGGAAGGATCACACACAGAACAAACACGATGACAATAACCACACACGCCAAGAGCACAACACCACCGAACCAGGAGGAAACGACGCCACTCACAGAGCCTGTCCACTGAGGAGAAGGGTGGAAGGTAAAGGAAAGAAAGACACACACACCTAACACCAACCCCGCCCAACCATCACCCGCCCCATCCTGTCTTACCTGGAATAACAGAAATAGTTTTCAATGCCCTCAACACCCTGAACGTGCGCAGAGCTGAGACATTGCCTAGGTTTACAAACTCTGTTATATACCTGCAGGATCAAACCACAGTAACAACAGCTCGTTATTTACATGAAAGTATGAGGTGGGAAGGTAAGTTGACACATAGACGCCCTATGTGACCGCTCTACAAACTATGAAGATGTACTTTGCATGGTGCTTATCATTAATGGGTATTTATGAATGAGGTCATGTAGAGGCAGGTAAATCTGTAGTAGAAATAGGGGGTGATGAACAGTAGACGGGGGCCTTAAATTGAATGTTGCAGAGTGAAAGAGAAAAGGTGAATGAGAGGGAGAGTTAGATGACAGGAGGAAGATAAATCCTAAGAAAGGGACTGGGGTGTGGTGTTATGAGGGAGGCCGCAGAGTGTCGGATGGAAACCTTAAACTCCCAAAGAGAAAGACCAGAGAGGTCTCGGATCAATGGAGAAAACACAGAAGATGAGTTATCATCAGACAGAGAGTAAGAAAAGACAGAAGGATGAACAATCATCTGTAGCACTGAACACTCACTTTCTTAACCCACCCTCTTTAACAAAACAATGCAAATATTTGTTCACATACTGTAACTTAATTTCATCATCAAGTGAAAGTCAGAATAACATCATACTAATAATAATAATAAGAGAAATACTTACGCCATCGAAATGACCATGAAATCCAACCAGTTCCATGGGTCTCTGAGGAATGTAAACCCGTCTATACAGAATCCACGTGCGCAGATTTTTACAAGAGACTCAAATGTATAAATTCCTGTGAATGTGTACCTGAAAGGAAAACGTGTTGACAGAATCAGTTCAGCAGGCTGCATCAAAGCTCACTCACTTATAAATCTTTGCACCATTAGCGGATGACACATGCAGGTAATGAAAAAGTGGAGCGTAGGGCACAGGATACATTTGGGATGCTAACGTAAGGTAAATTGTCAAGTATATCATTTTTAATTAACACATGTGTATATCACAGACAATTATAACAGTTTCTCTAGAGATAGTATTTGGCAACTCCAGTTTGTATCTTCTGGGTTTTTCAAAGATCATTCAGTATTTTCTTTTGTAAAATTGGATGTTCAGCTCTGTGCTACAATGTAAGAGAGGGGAACAAACTGGGGCTAGCAGTTATCATGCATTCATACAATTGAGCAAATATAATAAATGGGTACTTACTCTACTTGTTTTGACCACTCAGGAGGATCACTAAAGGTCATGAATATACAGTTGGTCAAAATAGTACACATAATGATCATGCTGAAAAGAGTGAGGGTCAAGTTAAGGAAAATATGGATAAAACCGGCAAACAAAAACATTATAAACCTTGTTTTAGAAGTAAAACACAATGAAATACATCACTAGTAGCTTAAGTATGTATCTAATGTGATTGCTGTGGTCCATTGAAGCTTAACAGCCCTCTTTGTAAACTGTTAATGACATGAGACCTACTTATAGCACTTAAGAGGAGGTGGTTTGGTGTGCTCGCTACCACAAATACCATTATTTTACCCATGAAATATTGATATGGTACATTTATAGTGGAAATACAAAACTTTTTATTTATCAAACATTAGAGCGAAAGAGAATTTTTAACATTTTATAATATGGAGAAACAAAAGTCGCTCTTAATGATAGATTTAGATTTTCCTAAATTGTTTTACACGGGGCTGACATTTGTATCCCATATGAATGCAGGGCTTAGTCGGGGGAGGGCTCTGTTATACTTGTGTCCGAGCAGCCTGTTGTAACGGTTTGACGATGAGGTAAATCAATAGGCATACTTGAACCACATGGAAATTCTGCTTCAATCAGCAGCAGCTTGTTTTCTAAAACAGACTTCCTTCCACCTCTTGAGTAACTTGACAGCTCTCTTTTTATAAGAACAGGTCCAACCTCCAAATATCTGGTCTGGGTACAGTGATGGATGGCACAGTGCTAAATCCTAATAGGATCTTAAGGAGGTCCCGCCTGGTTTACTGATAAGGATCATTTGTGCTAGCCTTCCCTTCCAATGATAAAATGGCTTCCTGTATGCTATTTTCCATAATGACATACTATTAGTTTCCATCCATACAGCAGTTGTATCTATCCCCTCCTGAAGTTACTTACAGTCACAGACAACATCAATAGCAGAACGACAGAACATATCATCATGAATAATGAACACGAAACTCTTTTGTCTCTGCTGTTAAGACACCATTTCAAAGGATATGAATGTATCAAAATTTTAATAGCTACTCGCCTAAACGGGTTTAAAGGATTTATGAAGTACAAGGCAGATGTGGCACTAAAACGGAAGATTGTCTTCCCTGAATTTAGTACTATAAATGTCTGTGGAAAGAAGAAAAGAGAGGGAGAGAGAGTATTAATGGCTTAATCAGACAAACATTGAAAGTTAACCAAATGCACATTGTATATAAGATTAACACATTTACCAACTGAACTGAATTACATACAAATACATATCAAAAACAAATGTCATCATATTTTATGTATTGCAAGTATATTCTCTGCATACATATAGTTCAGCATACATAACTTGTATACATATATAGACACTATGTTAAGATATGTTGTGCATTAGTTCATTTGTGAGTTAGTTGTGCACTTTCTGTCACATGAAATGATCTGAAACACAGAGGAACAGAGTGGAAATAGCTGCCAGGATGTTTCAAATGTTCATATGTTGTCCCAGTCACTCAGCACCATCCTGTACATAACGGCTTTGGTGGTTTCAAGAGAAGGAAACGCCGAACCCAGAAAGGCCGGGAAGCCTCTTTCTGTGGATAACCTCGTAATTGTTTAAATAAAACATGGCGCTTTGCTTGAAACTTTAATGAGACTCCATACAGTGATATGGGCCCTTGTGCTTTTAACAAGGCAGCCCTCACTACATTAAGCGCTGCCGAGCTGGCGGCTCAGGGCTGAAGGCTGGAGACAGTGGAGTCAGAAGGGGGAGGGGAGGAAAAGGGGGGAGGAAAAGGGGGGGAGGGAGACGTACAGTAAAAGGCCTCACGGTGATCACATGGCTGCAGGTAAATTGCACACTTCTAACAGAGAGAAGGTGCTTGTGTAAAAATGTTAACACAAAACATACAAATCTCAGAGAGGAAACATCGCACTGATTATAGAGCCTTACTTCCCAGAGGACGAGACACAGTTCTGTCACATGACCTCACTGATATTAATTTGACTGAGATCTAAAGACAACTCAGAACAAGCCAGCACAGTTAGACACGATTAGATAATCTTACTCCCCAGATACTATTATAGGTCAGAGCCGCAGCCTCACCCTAATGTTCATATCTTATATATATGTTCTGTAAACATTCCCAGTCAGCACTATTGTCAGTCAGAATGACACACATGGAATCCTCCCAGTTATTGGTAGCATGACAGCCTTTACACACATATGTTGTTTGCATATGCATAACAAATACACATAGCCCTAAAGCACAAGCACACACATGAGCAGAATGCACAAAGCTAGAAAAAAGAGCAAGCAAGGTTGACATCCACACATGCCTGCTATATATGTAGGGACTGGAAGTCTTTTTCCTTTTTACGCATGACTAAACTGCTGCAAAGCTACTGAAAATGTCCTAATCTGGAGCTGAGCAAAGAGGAGAGCAGAGGAGAGGAAAGGCAGAAAGCAAAGGGAGATGGAGAGCGCATGAAGCAGGCAGGCAGCAACTGTGGCAGCAGCAGGCCGAGGAGAAGCAGGGCAGAGGCAGCAGAGCCAGGGAGAGGGGCAGGAAGCAGGGTGGGAGGGGTGATGGGCGGGAGGCAGAGTGAGAGGGGGAGAGTCACTTCAACACAGAAGCTCCAGTCATCAGGCAGGGCGGCTGCATCTGCATCCGTGAGGGCCACAGCAGCCATTCAAAGAGCCCCCTTCTTTCAACCCTTCTGGTAAATGGATAATGGAGAGACACACACACACACACACACACACACACACACACACACACACACACACACACACCACACACACACACACACACACACACACACACACACACACACACACACACACACACACACACACACACACACACACACACACACACACACACACACACACACACACACACACACACACACACACACACACACACACTTGGCGTGGGGCTCAACCTCCATGCTATCTGCTAACCTGCTCATGTATTCCTCACCATGCTTAAATTCAGTTTGTTCCATTTTACATCCAAAAGATTAGGTTAACATTCCTAAAGGAAAAGCTCTGATCTTTGTGGGAGGACATGACTTTCTGTGACGGTTCATGTGTCCAATGCCCTCTTCACATTTCTAATAAGGTTTTGGAATTCATCTTGAGAGTATGTCCTTATGTCTTGGGATAATGACCTTAAAAAATGAAATGTTTTCGGGTGGGTCGGGATTCAAACCATTTTACTAGGCAACAGACACTGCCATTGGGCCTCCAACTCTAACCACTGAGCCATCCGGCAGCCCAAGTTAGTCTTTTTGTAATGAAATCTAATCGGTGTATTTTCTCTGAGGAGTTATTAGAAATGCAAAATTCACATGCAGGAAAAGAGAGTGCAGCATTTAGAATTTGAATGTCGACGTTATGAAGGAAGCATTTGGGTAGAGCCCTCCCTTACACAGTAATCCGTGCTCTTTAAGAATACATTTACTTTATACCATGGTCCTTCACAAGCCATCTGTGACTTTTGAGTTAATATGGCAGTTTATTTGTTTGTCTCTGTTTATTGTTTATCTTTGCTCAACACAAACAAATGAACAGATGTTGCTTATATTACACATACACAGGTGTGGTACGGGAAAGCATTTTATTTTTGCCTGATTTGACTTCGAAAAAAGAATATTAGCTCTGTAGTATTTCTGATTTTGCATCTTTAGGTCTTCCCTCAGCAAAAACACATTTGAGTGAGCCCGGCTGCAGCAAGAAGGAGAGCAAGTGTGCTCATGCATCCCTGCACATGTCGCACATTTCATCCCTGTCCTCACTTCCTCTCTCCTTCCCTCCTATCTCTATGTCTCGTTCCCCTCTCCTTGAAAACGATCCGTTTCACCGGCCTTGTACACTGACACCCAGCTTGACGTAGCTCAGCCTGCCAGCCCTCTGTCCCAAATATGACACCATCTAAGAGGACCCTCAGGTTAAGATGTTACATAGAGAAGATGAACTGCATGCTTTCCCTTACAGTCATTCACCCCTTCCCTGCAAAACATTTTTCAAAAACCGGCCCTCCGCCCTCAGTGACAGTGACATACGGAGCCGTGTTCTCCCGTCAAGGTCACCACCTGATCTGACGGCAGAGCTGCTGGAAGCTGTCAGAAACAAAGGACCATCGGCCCCCTTTGGTATAAGAGGGAGACTAGATTGAGGGCCATAATTAGATTTGCCTGAAGAAGAGAACTGACAGGACTGCTGGTAAGGGCAGGTTCAGGGACAACAAGCAAAACACAAGAAGCAACAACAAGCCTGAAGACTCGAATGCATCTGTGACAGTCATGCTTTCTTTTTTTTTATCAACAGTCCCTCGAATCGATCGATGTGTTTGCCACGTGCCATCTGAGTCGTGTCTCATCCTTGTGCACTGGGCTGGCGTGTTACATAACAGTGAGCGTGCACGGTGTAAAGACAGGGAGGAATGAGACAGAGACAGACGGAGACTCAGATACTGAGCACCTGAATGCACACACACACACAATGTCTAAAACAAAATCTGTTGAGCTAATGATGATGACTAAACGGATATTATAGGGGGGGGGGGGGTTTTCAGGCAGGACTTGAGTGCATACATGGCTGGTATTTTACAAAATGGCTGAAATGAAGGCTATGAAAGTTTGGAACTTTCCATAGCCTTCATTTCACCCTTCATCAACATCCTGGAGTAATGGATGTTATGTCTTTAAACATTTGTATTTAGAGGCCAATTGGTCCATCAAGAGCAAGACACAGCCATCTGACATGAATGCAGTCTGCTATAACAGTTCTGGTTGACAGGGACACATGATGGGATGTTCAGGGACTCTCAAGGTCACCCGTCCGTCCTCACACGGCGTCAGGGAGGACAGATACCCCAGAGAGACACGTCTCTCCTCTAAGACAACCAGACTCCTCTCACCCTACTGTTGCTGCCGCCTTTCGCTCCTGCCACAAATTCATTTTTGAACAATTAGGAAAGTCTGTCATGTGGAACAACCGTCTTTCATCAGTTGCTGCTTCTGACCTTTTCCCCAAAGCCCTGCAAGCAAATCGGAGATACGGACCACTCAACGACTCGAGAGCTGGACTCTCACAGTCCCCAAAGGTCTTCAAGGAGGATTAGATAATTATATTCTGTACTCTTATCATAAAATTCAAATCACTGTAAACACAGCGCACCAGGAAGCCAACTGTCGCAAACAACACGTCACTCCTCCTCTGAGTAACTTCCAGCCATCATATGACTCACCTCGACGTCATGAGGCCTACTAACAATTATCTGAGATGTTAATATGTATAATTGGATTCGGCTGATGTACAACAACGTCCTTTCTATACTGTATACGTAAGCAACAATACCGGCGAGTATGCTGATCATTTAGGGAAAATAAAAAAAACTGAAATAATGATGCAAGTTCTGGCCACATTTAAATAACAATTATCTCAATCATAAAATTGCATATACAGTAATGCTTATCTATCAAGATGCCTCACACTTGGATTGTTTGAAGCAAATAAGTTTCATTTTAATAATGCTACAGAAATGTCCAAATCTGAATAACAACACCTCAAGACTGAGATACTGAGAGATGCGCAGTGATGTGATGTGATCCTACATGTTCTGGCTTGCAAAAAGAGGCAATAGAGAGGTTATATTAAAATGTTTGGTCCAATAAACAGGCTTAATTTGAGAGTTTGGGCACCTGAGGTAGTGGGACAATTACCATTTTGTGAATTAGACTTGGTATTGCTTAAAATATTCATTTTGGGAAACCAATGTTTCAGGACCTATAACCAATACTTGAGAATGAAACTGATCAAGGAATAAGGAAAGAAGACCTCTGATCAGATGCCAGTTTTTAAAACCGTTTTTACATTTTGGATGCTACATTTCTGGTCCATAAAGCTCGATACCCAGCCATATTCAGAAACATCCTTTGGCTAAATCAGCTCTCATTCATGTCAAATGACAGCATCACTAAACATGTGTTGGTGTGCCTCTGTTGGTATACTCACTTTCTGAGAATTCAGGTAGTATGGGTCCAGGTCCTCCAGTGGTACCGCCACCAATCCCTTAGGGATGTCCCCGTAGATGTAGGGCAGGCTCCGCCCAGCCTCCAGGTCAGTGTTGGGTCTGGGCTTGTTCTCGTCATCATCGTCGCGGTAGCTGCTGTCCTGCTTGGGAGGCTTCTTGTTTTTCTCCTCATTGATGCGCAGCTCAATAATCGCCAAAGATTCCAAAGTAAACTTCTTGAAGCTATCAGGTCCTGGCGGTGCAATAAGGGGTGCAGCCATGTTTTCATCCTGCAGCTACCTGGTCTTTAGGTTTGTACCATCCACAGTAGCAGCTCTGCAGGTGGAGCAGACGGAGAGGAGAGGTTAGACACACATTCAAAACACTTTCCTTCTAAAGACCTTTTTGATGTTGCCCAACTGGATACTATTAGTTATTTATCCAAATGTAGCTCATTTTACTTTTCAGCAATAATCCTAAACACTTTGTGAATAAAGGAAGAGATTTGGAACCAAAAGGGACCTAAATAGATTAAAGGTCACAAACACCTATATGCATGTTTATGAAAACACACTTGTTTTGAAGTTTATGTAATATTAATTAAAAACAACTAGATCCAAATAGAGGAAATGCAAAACAAACACTATAAATGATTATTATTTTTGTACACTGGTTTTAGAATGGAAGAAATTACTATTAGATAAGATACTACAAAAATGGCTGCCCTTATGATGCATCCTTTGCAACATTATTTATTTGTAATATTCACTTTTTTTTTTAACAATTTAACAATAAATAAAAGCATTTGCCCGAAAACAGAAGACTACAACAAGGAGACAAGATTGTACAGGGCATTTGATGCTCCATGATAGTGGTTTATATATATTGTATACCACTATATATATTACACACAATGTTTGCACAGCTGTCAATGCACACTTAGGGAGAACAAGTGTTCAGCAGCTAAAGAGATGTTTACCTCAACCCTCTTCAACACTCGCTGCCTATGGACAAGTATTTATGTCTCTCTTTAAATAACTATAGATATAAATAGATCTGTTTATATTTGGTGTTGTATAACACCTTTTATTATATGTTCACAGGTATCATTTTGAACAGTCAAAACAAAGCAGATGGCTGCCAAAGCCACAGTAATTATATCCTTTTAAGGATATTAAGCTACCACCTCATTCCTTATCTTCCTCCCTTTTCCCAGTTAGGGGAGGTGGAAACATGAACAGAGCTGTGTTCAATAATCAGTTAACGTCAACAGAGGAAACTGGAACCTTAAAACAAAGTATTATTTTACATGAAAACTGAATCTACACAAAAGTAGTGGCTACAATGGAGCTTTCAAAAAGGTACTAAAGGTGAGCAGGTTCTGCATTCCCTGTCAGAAATCTCACCAAATAAGCACCAATACTGTATCTTTCCTCTCCCAACAAAGACCCATTTAATGATTTTACTCCCAATTATTTTTTTAATAGCTGTGAAAACGCTAACAGGAAATCCAGAGCACTTAATGGCTGCATGACTCAAGCCTTTTTGCAGCTCACTTAAATGTAAAAGGCTATGCTGGTAACATGACAACTGTTTTGAGCTGCAGGACATGTCAGGGTCAATATACTTAAGTGAAACAGAGCTGGAGGAAACACAAGGGAGCTGAGAGGAGTTCACAAACAGAGCCACACCTGAACAGAGACATTTGGAAGATGGCTGGAATAATTGGGTTTTTACATCTACATTTCACCGTCAATCCCACTGTCATTTCACACAAAGCTGTTTTTCAGTCTATATGGTGGAGGCAAAGCAGCCTTAATATAGAGAACACTATCATATCGTGGAAGCAAAGCAGCCTTAATATGGAGATCACTATCCACCCTATCTGGATCACAAGGCCTGTCACTTCCCTGCTCCCCTCTTGCATAACACAGCATCATTAAACATGCTCGACGTGTAAAGCAGATATCACACAGCAAAGGCTCCACACATGAAAACATGCAGCCTGTGAGCCAAGACGTCTGTTTTAAAATGGACCCCGGAACCTCACTGTCTCTGAGCCTTCTGCTGCTCTGCTGGCGCTGTCCGCTTCAGCACCACACGGGTGCGCGCAAACACACATGCACGAATGCATACATGCAGGGTTGATAGAGAGAACAAAATCATAGCCGATCTGACAGGGAAAACCCGTTTTTCTGTTTTCTAGCTGTGCTATCCCCTCGACGCTTGTAAAGAACTGCAGATGATCCTTCAATTCTCTCCAATGTTAGTAGGCTAAGTCATGATGACAACACTCGTCTTGTGTCTCAGTCTCGAGAGCTGCACATTGCTTACATCCAGGTTTTTAATTTCCACAGAAAAAACAGACACATTTTGGTATCGTCTCAGTTCCTAATTTTAGAGACCAAATGAACACTTGTTCCCTAAACCTGTTAAATAAGAAGGAGGGCTGTGGACGCCATTGTGTGCATTCAAATATATTGCATTGCATAGTAAAGTGAGAAGCATTAAGGTACACGGTGCTACAAATTAACCAAAGCAATATTGCTGCAGTGGGAGGTTTGTATGTTTGAAATGTCACGCAAACGTGGATGTGTCAAAGGCACAGGTGTAATGTCGATGTATCACAATAAATCACAGCAATATTTCCCCGATGTTGATGAACCACACCAAGCAAATCACGATTCATTTTTTCCTTTTCGGGGATATGGTGGGTTTTTTTGCGCGTTGCCTTGAAGGATCTGCACCACACCCGTGAAGCCATGTCGAGTGCCAAATCAATAAGGGCTCTATCTGTGCACAAGATAGCCCAGAGCATGAAGCTAAACAGCAGCTTGACACTCACACTTACAGTCTGGAATATTGGGTTAAACATAACAAATAAGACGATTAGAGAACAGAGGAGGCTGCCACACCAAAATCACCTGGAAGAATGTAAATGTATTGGCTATTGCTGGTGAAACGATCAGGCTACTCACATAGCATCGAAGCCGTATGGTGATTCATGAGCCCCATCCTGTAGTCCGGAGGGTATAAAATGGCAAAAATAGTGAGCACAATTTGAAATACATCTCCTGTTTCGTTTTTTTGGGGGCTGGATCAGTCAGACGGCGCACTACCTGATGCCTAACCTGCGGGACATTTTCTCTCACAAAGGTTTAATGAACGCCTCGGATGCTCGACGAAATAAACAATCCGATTAAATCCTTGCGAAAGACATAAACTGATTGACAAATTTCGTTTTGTGTGCCCTGGTCCAGCCAATAGATGCTCACCAAGCTCAGACACCCTCTCCCATCCAGCTCCAAAAAAAGATGCGGGGCAGTGTGCAGCTCTGCGACATTTACGCAAGGATACCGACAGCGAGAAAACCTCCCCTCACCAAACAGCATATGCACCGTCTTCTCAAACGGTTAGAAATGAAGGATACTCACTTTGTAAGCGTTACAATGAATCCGGGAAGCCGTGGCAGGAGTGCAGATGTGGAAAAGATTGGGGAGAAACTGCGGTTGTCGCCATATTGTTGCCGCTATCTTCCCCCCTCAGCGCGAGCAGTCCATAATTGATGACTCTCAGCAGAATGTAAGGGAGTGTCTGCAAGTGCGTTTGGTGAAATCCTAAAGGTCATTTGGGCCTGCAGCCTCTAAACCTCACTGTGTGGTTCACCAGAAACAGCTCACCGGGCTCGGAGATGAGCCTGTGTGAGATTGTGGAAAGAAAATGCGCACAAGGTTTTTCTGACAAAACAGATCGGCTCACTTTGTGTGCAGTTTGCAGTGCAGGAATGTAATTTGCTGGCAGGCTGTGGGCACAGAAACTGCTTCCACAAGACACTGAGATAAATCTGTGATACACATGTTTAAATTCATATGAAAATGCCAAAATCATGCAACGTTTACCTCACATAAAATGACCATTTGCTTTGGGAAATACATTAATTAAGACACTTAGTTACCTATAAGTGATCCGGTTTATCCTGTCACACACATGCACATATTTTTTAAATATGGAGCTTCTCATCTATGTTATTGTAAAACTATCTTTATTAATAACCTCTGCCTCAGACTGCTGCCTCCCCCTGCACTCTGCTGTTAAATAAAACAAATTAATATGCAAATTGCCAGCTCCCCATCTGGAAAACTGCCCCCTGTGTGTGTGTGTGTGTGTGTGTGTGTGTGTGTGTGTGTGTGTGTGTGTGTGTGTGTGTGTGTGTGTGTGTGTGTGTGTGTGTGTGTGTGTGTGTGACATAATTTCAGCTACATTGTACAAAATATAATAATAATAATAATATTTAATATTATATTTTAATGTTTAATATAATAATGTTGTTATTTAAAAATGTTACGCACCTGCACATGACGTCATTGGCTGGAAGGTGGTCAAAAAAAGTGTTCAGGAGTTAAACTAAACTAAATGGAGTTCAAACTGCTGCTGCTGCTGCTGCTGCTGCTGCTTGGGACTACGCTGTGTTTAGATGATCCAACTTTACACAACCAGGATCTGGAGAGGGAAATGTGGAAGTAACTATACAAAAATATATTTTAAAGAATAAAATGTCTCTTTTTGATGAAAACAAATCAGCTCCTTTTGAAAGGGCGACCATTAGAAGAGCCAACAGTTAGCTATTCTAGACACTCCAATAATACTCAATTAGATGTAGGCCTATTGTTAGACAAATGGCTATAAAGTCAAAATGTGAAGTTGACCATAAAAGGATCCGTAAACTAACATTTACTAACTTGAAAAGTTGATTTTCTTCTACCTGAGAAAGTAATATTTACACCAACAGTATGTAGCTTACTTTTGGTAAAATAGTTAACATAATATTGAAAGCTACTAAAAACATTTTGATTCATAAGAAACATAACACTCACTTACGCTCTTTGAGGCAGGTCATTTTGCTATCTTTATGACTGTATTTGTACTATCATCACGCTTCATTTTAGCATGTATCGTTGCAGCTTGGGTAGGACAGCAATAGTTAGCTACTTTTTAAATGATGCAACAGAAAACTCCAGCTAAATGGTGCCAACTGTCTTCCAAAAAAAGTAACGTTATCTAGCAATACTAACTCCAAAGTTACTAAATCCAACGAGAAAGGCGGTACGTTTGCAACATTGACAGCCCTCTAAAGACAATTCAACAAGTATAATTATGAACGTGAAATTATCATAAAAAACGTAAACAACGAGATGGATATTTTAGTGGGCTACTCACAGCTGTCAAGCTAGCAGCGCGTGCAAGACTCCGGTGACGCGCAACCAGTGCACGAGCAGAGTGCGCGCAGTTATAGATAGTCCTGTGACAGCCACAGGTAACAGATGTTTGTCATTGTCAGAGTCATTTAATGACTGTTCTTGCAATGTAAACAGTATATCAACAAATATAACACATCTTCCACCCTAGCTGTAACCAAAAACTATAGCACAAAAGGTAAACATTGTACGAAAGAGAGGTTTGTTGTTTTCCTGCTGGTGATCCTGTAGTGGATCACATCAATACAACTTCCCACCCTCTGAGTTGCCTTGACATTGTTTTTTGTGTCATACCAACCGTTTATAAAGTCATATTATATATATAAAAAAAGTATAATTTGAGAGTCTCAACCCAAAGAAATCTAATTTGTTTTTGTTTTTTGGCTAATTGTATCAGAACCATTAGCAAGTGTGTAATATCATAAATGACATGTAAACTTTGTGTGTTTTTGAGGCTGTGGGCAGCGGCCCCTGGTCAGCCCCCCTGGTGAGTCTCGTATAGTGGGGGGCTGGGAGGCTCTTGAGGGGGCTTGGCCCTGGCAGGTCAGCATCCAGATCAGGTCCAGGCATCACTGCGGCGGGACCATCATCAGCAGACTCTTGGTGCTCACTGCAGCACACTGCTTCAAGACATACCTGTGAGTATAACTGACACACCTCACTGAGCTGCACTCACATGTATTACATAACTCACTCTGCATGTGTGCCCATGGATTAGACAACATGTAAACACACTATGGAGACTTTGAGTCTGAAGTGAACTCATAACGAGGAATTCACAGTTTTTGGGCCGTCTGACTCAAAAGGTTCGATCAGGTACCGTTGACCAAAAAGGAGCTCTATTCAATAAAATAAGATTATATTTTTATTTTTTATTTAATGATGTCCGGGACCCAACAATGTTATATGTGACTCAAAAAGTATTTAAAGAGGCCACATCATCTGTGATCAAGGTGTATGTGCACAGCTTTTGAGAATATATTCTATTTAATATGTGAGAAAAAGAAGAAGCCAAACACCAACACATCTACAAATAGCAATGGTCAGAAGTTAAAACCAAAGTAACATACATACATATAGAGTGTAGTGCACACAATGTACACAATATCATATTTTATTCCATTCTATTTCTATATAAATACTACTATATTTTTTATTATTTTTATTATTTTTATTATTTTATTATGTTATTATAGTTTTCTTAAAATTGTTCTCTGTCTGTGTTTTTAATTTTTTTTTACTTGCACCATGACATCAAGTTCCTTGTTCCTCGTACGTGTGAAGCTACCTGGTAATAAACCTGTTTCTGATTCTGATTCTGAGAGGTGCATGAGTATTTACCATCAGGGTGTCCTGAATGCAACCAAAGGTCCGTATGAGCAGGGGTCTATAGATGTCACTATTTTGCTTTCTTTATTTGCGCTTCACCAATACAGGTTTTATAGGTTGTGAAGAAGCAATACTACTTGTGTTTAATGTTATGTTAGCCGGTTAGAAGATGGTTTCCAAATCCCAAATTACACAAAACTAACAGCACAGTTACAGTTTTGGGGCTCTTGGAAATAGTGGCCCATACATTCATCCTTGATTATAGTTTGAGAAATGCTGCTATGATTCGGCCTAGTTTGACCCACCTCTGAGTTGTTGTGATTTATTTACTTTTGTGTAAGTGTGTGTGCAAGTATATCCATATAGGAATGTCCAATAAGATCTTTTAAACAGAGATTACAAATATCAGTTGTATTTCATCGCCTTGTAAAAAAAGCATCATGAACATTAAAATGTTTCAAATGACATGTATTGCTGTCTCTGTTCTGTGTCCAGAAGGGTCCGCAGAAGTTATTTCAGTGTGGTGGCCGGACTTACTGTGTTATCCGCTCCAGGAGATGGAACCCAGATCCGCTCCATCAGGGAAGTGAGAATTCACAAGGACTACGACAACGTCATGGCTGACAATGATGTGACTCTCCTGCTGCTCAGCTCTCCCTTCAACTTCACCGACCACGTCCAGCCGGTCTGCACCCCTCTATACGACGCTCAGGAGTCATTCCTCAACTTCAGCCACTGCTTCATCAGCGGATGGGGGAGCCCCTATTTCAAAGGTTGGTTTAAAAACTTAATTTGTTATTTACTCACGATGTACAGTCTTAACAGACGGATCATAATCGGTATAATATTTTTAAATGTTGTAGACCTAGCTGACACTAAACATCACTTTATCAGACTTTATTCCAATTCCTCTGAAGCCACACCATACATGCAGTAGCACCCCCCAAAATACCTGGTTCAAGATTAGCACAAGTACAAATGTGTAAAAGTAACCTTAATTACAAGATCTAATTAAAGTAACCTGTGATGACAGCAGGCATATGTCATTTTTTTATTCAAGGCTGTATTTCCAGTTGTTTGGATGTTTTGTGAATCAGTAACTTGTTCAAAAAAATGTAACATTCAAAGGTATACCGTAACCATTGCATGTCTTAATGACATGTTGGTCAGACAGAGTGGGGGGCCTTCTACATGTGCCCAGGGGCAAATAATGTGTCATCATCCGTCTCTGGTGTTACTGACTGCAGGCAGGCCGATGAACAGATTGCAGGAAGTGGAGGTGGAGCTCATTGACAGGAGGACATGTAACAGGATCAGCTGGTACAGCAGCTTCATCACTGAAAACATGATCTGCGCTGGACTGGAGAGCGGGGCGGTTGATGCCTGCCAGGTGATTATTCTTTGAAACATTTCCAAAACTTCCTTCAGGTTTAATGTCAGTAAGACATGACTGCTCTCTGTGTGTGCCTCAGGGGGACAGCGGGGGGCCGCTGCAGTGCTACAGTGAGGACGAGGACAAGTTCTATGTGGTCGGAGTGACGAGCTTCGGTCACGAGTGTGGACGTCCTCACAAGCCGGGGGTGTACGCCAGGACCAGCAGGTTTGCAGATTGGATTCAGGATCAGGCAGAATCAGCTGCACACAGACTGAACATGAGACTGATCCCAGAGCTGCTCAGTGTCGCTCTGATGCTGC